TTTACATCCAACCGTAACTTTGGTGATTAAAAGGGTATGTGCCTGAGCATTTATTCCATATTGCTGACTAACGTAAGTTTCTGCTGGCTGATGTTAGGAAGGTTTATTTTACTAATAATCCGCTCGTTGTTACTGTGTTGCAGCAAAATTACCGAGACTGCAAAGAAATCCTTGGCCTCTCTTAAGAGAGAAAACCCTCGGCTTGAGCCAACGCTTGCCATTATTCAGGTAAAGTATGTCCGTGTGCTCGCTGGCTGAGAGGCATCCCCTTCGGTACCCTTGCTTGTCTGAAACTTCAGAAGCGTGTGATGCTGACTGTAACTTCTATTCATGCAAAGCAATAGAAGGAGGTAATTCCACCAGACTGTAGATTGCCCTTCTCCAGGCCTGAAACAGCCACAGCAAACTTCAGGCTGTGGGAAAGGTTTGCAAAGGAAGGGCATGATTTTATCCCTTCCTCCTTTTGTTAACATAGTCTTCGCCATTGTAAGTGTGGATTGCTTTTTCTCACAGGTTGTCCGAGTTGATTGACATGATTTGAGTTAAAGCAGTTGTTCTCGGCCTTTATTTAGCTTGAAGCTTTTGTTGCAGTCCTGAAAAAACTGGTTTTGTGCCTGAAAACCTGGGTGCTTTCCTTCACCTCCCACTCCTGAAATAGTATCGCCAGGGTTAAGGAAAGACCCTACTGCTTCCTGCCAGCCTTGTTGCCTTTGGGCAGCTCTAGTTTATGTAGTTTATAATTGCTTTACTGCTGTCCTAAGGAAAGAGAAACCACACTGACAAGGCCTAGTCTGCTCAAAAGGGCCAATGTGAGATTAATGCTCTGTGTAAAATATCAGTATCCTTTAGAAGTAGCAACACTTGCTAAGGTGAAGCTATCTTGTAGTAATTGAGAGCTGTTGTATTACTAATGCTGCAAAGAGATTTCCTTGCCTTCCCACTGGCACTGCCGTCTTTGAGACAGGCAAACTCATGGATGGGGATTGCTATCTCTGCAAAGCTGAGAGATGGTCCTCTTTAGATTTCTTAAGGTTCCAAGGCCAAGAAACTTGGGAAGTTTGTCATTCAGAGTGGGACCCAGAGCCATGCAGGCATGTTTCCTACAACGGTGATGTTGGTTTTGAGCAGGCACACACTGAATCTCTGACCCAGTAGGTTTTAATTTTAAAAACTAACTGCAAATATTTTTAAGTACTAACAGTGAATCTAAGAAATGCAGCACCAACTTTATTTCAGTCGGTTATCTAGTGAGGCTGACTGAACAAGCTCTCCCATCCCTTACCCTCCCCAGGTAATTGTGGTTAATGTTTTCAAATAGCCCTCTAAGGCTGTACGTTTAAGGACTGTTAGAAAAGCAGTGACCCATCTTCTGAGTAACCAGTTTTTCGCTCCTGTCTTGTCTGCATCCAGTTGCAGCATTAGCTGGCTTGGGGCAGTGATCTTCCCTGGGCTGGAGGGGTCTGGTCAGGCTCCATTTCAGCCACATTAGTCCCCGAGTCTGGTTTTCTGCATGGCCACACAAGTGTTTTATGCTGGCGTGAGGGAATGTATATTGTTAGGATGGGAGAGAGCATTGTGTGAGGAGGGGGAGGTTCCTGCTCACTTTTAGTATCAATTGTGATGCATCTGCATCAGCGTTTCGGTTTTGATCATGGTCGTGCTTTAAATGAGTGTCCCTCTTGTCCCTGTTTACCCCACTTGGTTTACATTATGAGGTGGCTGTAGGAACGTGTAGCCTAGACCCTTCTGGATGAAATTCACCCAGACTATGTTCTCTATCTATCAGTCACCCTAGCTCTAGTCTGGTTGTAAGGACTGAAGCAGAACTCATTTTAAATGTGTATTTGTTCATACAAAGAAGACTTGTTTTAATCTACAAACACTCCTGCGGTGCACTGCTCTACTGGTAACATGGGCAGAGCCTTAAGATTGATGCTGCTCTCCACGTGCTGCGTTGCACCCAGAGGAGCAGAGGGAGGGTGGTGAAACAGTCACTCGTGGGTAACAGCACTCGGTGTAAACGTGGCACCACCTCTGTGGCAGTACTGGGAATGAAGAGTTGCAGACTGAGCCTGCTCCAGAATGGTTTTAGATGCATTCTTTTCCTCTCAAGCCATCTGAACCTGAATCGCCACAGAGATTGATAGCTGTGTTGCTTGTTATCTGTGTTGAACCTCAGTTGGAGCTGTGCAACCACAAAAAATGACTGGTGGCTGCTTCTTAGTTGTGTTGAAGCTGGAAACTAATATGTAGCAGCAGGATCCTGCTTAGTAGTGGAGCTGTTGCCCTGCAAAGCTCGGCGAAGCACCACCAGCTCCCCTGCACCCCCTGCCCTGCCCCTGGCTCTGCTGGCCCGTCCTGAGCTCTGGCCTTGGCTGTGCTGCTCCACGAACTGTGATGGGAACTGGTTCAGGGCAGGGACATTCTGCACCTGCAGAAGGTGAGCATTCACCAGCCAGTGCTGCAGGAGCGGGGACATCACAGGGGACAGCGTGGTACTGCTGGTGACTCCATCCCAGTTAAAACTCTGGAGCGGTCCTGGTGGTTACGCATCAGTGTGGGGATACAGTCCCACGTTTACTGGCGTAGGGGAGCAGCTGCTGAGCTGTTCTTAATTCTGTCTCTTGGTCCCTCACAGCAGTGTGTGAGCTCCACACGTGTTCTCCGTGCAGCAGTCTCTGTGCTGCCCCTCGCCCCCAGCTTCCAGATGTGGGGAGTGGGAGACTGGCAGTGTGGTGCCAGGGATGCAGGGCTGGGGGATGGAGGGCAAGCCCTCGTTCCCTCTCAGGAGTTGCCTCTCACCATAGAGCCTGTTCTCTTGAATGCTCTTTTTTTTTTTTTCATTGTCAGCACTCTTGAACCATTTGGGATTAACAGGTTGGTAAATTGTTACAGGCTTGAACCAAAATAATTTTGGGTGATGTTAATGACAGTCGAAGCCAGTGCTGGCAGCTAACCACAAAGTGAGCAGCTCAACTCTGATGGGAAGTCACTGGCTCTGAGTCTTGTGGAAAAAGCTATGTAGAATGTGTTCATGAAATTATAAAGAACCCTTTTGAAATTATTAATTTCCATGCTCTCATCTGGGTTGTAAGACAAGTGTTATATATAATATCATATAGCTGTGAGAAGTGTTTTATTCATTTTGTTATGAAACCACTGACGCTTTTGAGGATGGAACCCTCCCTGATCTGTTGGTAGGAAGTTTTCTAGTTCTGGTCATTGAATTCTCAGTTTTATTGTTACAATATATGAAAATATTTGAAGAGTCTCCTAAGACTTAAGAGTAACTTGAAGAGTCAAATTCAGTTGTAATTATTACGGATAATATTGCAATATATAAGGTGCATATAGGAGTAGAGACTGTAGGGAGGAAGATTCCTGCGTGAGATGGTCTTTTGTAACCTTTTGTAAATGGTAAACTTATGTTAAGGAAATGGCCACTCTTGTCTATAAAAGCCAGGCTAGTATCAACACACACTGAAACTAATCAAGCCAAAATAAATTTCCTGGATGGCCTTCTGCTTCTTTCTTGGAATTGCTAGGCTTTTTATTTGTTTGGATACTAGTAAACACAAACATCCTCACTACACTTCTTACATAGACCTGTGCATTAAGGCCCTCATATTTTTAAATGTAAATTTATTATTTTAAAACTTATTTTCTGTTTTCTTCCCCAAGGCACATAATGATAATTTGATTCAAGAAATAAACAAGAATTTTGCAAAAGAGGTAAGCTTTAGCTGATATACTTGTTAGTAATCATGAGCTACTTGCTTTGGTAATTAAAAGTAATTTCTTTTGGCAGGTTGGTCTACATGTTGTTCACATCTGTCTCCCTGAAGGCAGCAGCAAGGATGAGGTAACTGCAGTACCTGAAGGACTCTTCCTTTTTCTGTTTTGTCATAAACTTGTATTTATTGCTGACATTCATTATCACTTTGACTGACCTCTGTTAACTCGAATTAGGGTTGGGGCTGCCTTAGTTCAAGTCACAAGTATTTATCCCCCCATTGGCAAGCGTGGGAAAAAAGGGAATTAATGGGCTTGTCTGCTGTCCCCTGGCAAGCTGAGGCAGAATAAACAGAGTAATGTTTTGTTTTCATGTCTGGTATTTAACTGCAGTGTCCCCTCATACCAGCATGGGTATCCTGTCTCTCACAGTTGCTCTTGTGACTGCACTTGATTCTTGCCCAAGTTATTCAGGGAAATTAAAGATTAATTGATTTAGAGGGAAAGCTGTTTGAATTTATTTGCCTGTCTATTGATCTTGTAATGCTTAAAGTATATATTAAAAAAGCACCCACCCCAAATCACTAGAGGGCTGAATTCTTGTCAGATGTGTTAGGCTGAAGGCGCAGCACTAGTATCAAGTATGTTTTAAATATAGCAAACCATATTAATATACATGGTTCTGAGGCATCTGCAAGTAGAAACAGCAAAGGAATGTGTAGTAAAAGATTCCGCTGTTCCCAGCTGGTCTCCTTGTGCTTGCTGAGTTTGACAGTCCTTCAGGCTTGTGGGCTTTGTGTACTGTTTTGTATTTGGTACACTTTGGTTTTGAAGTGTTACTGGCTTGCAGTGTAATCTCAAGAACAGCTTCCAGATATATTGAGAGGAACTTACTGGGAAGAATTTTAGGAGTTCAGTTTTGTGGTGATGAATAGTCAGCTACCCATTTAAGAAGGGTGGCCTTTGGAAACGAAGATTAAATGCACTTTGCTGTTGGTACATGTGTTTATCTGCTAAGTAACACAGTAGGAAATAGGTAAAATACAGTGAGTCTGCATCAGTAGTTGCTGTTACTTTGAAGTAGTATCTGAGGAAGTGGCTGAGTTGTTTATGTAAAGAGAAAAGCAGGGTATTTTTGATATTTGAAGAAAGTTACTTTCAATGAAGTTCATAGCGGTTTGCTTACTCTCCTGCTTGCTCACTATGACAAAATTGGGGTTTTTTTCATCTATTAAAAATCCACATGCTAGCTTGCATTCCCTGGTTTGGGAAGGATTCCAGTACTGTGCACTTTTTGTTCTACCATAACTGCCTGTGTACAGTAAAGGCAAGTTAGTACAAGATTGCTTTACCCTACATTTGTTGTAAGTATTTTAAATACTGTGATGATGGAAAACTGAATTAAAGTAAAATGCAATGAAAATGGAAAACTGAATTATTTTCCCAGGAAGCAGAAATATAGTTCAAAGTTCATTAGATTCAGGCTATTTATGAACTATGTTTCCTTTAATTGTTGTGTAAGCCCCCAACATTTTGTAGCATCTCAGGATTTTTTTAAGCAAAATGTGGATGTTTTCACATCCGTTTTCTGGTGTATACACTCACCCTTACTTTCTGTTAGAAAGTATACCAGCCCTTCTGCTGTACAATGGCACAGGGTCTTAATAGATATATGCCTGTTTCTGTTTCAGAAGTCATTCAAAGGTGCATTTCTCTACCAGTGACACACTTGTGTAATCTTTGTTAACGTGAAAGCGGCACGTTCTCTTGGTTCAGAGTTGCAGACGGTCTAACCCCTATCAAATTCCTCTAGCTTAATGTTGATTGCACATCAAGTGTTTGGGCAACAGCGTTCACAATTATATTGAATAGTTCACATGGAAGGAATTTTAGGAAGGCATGGTATTAGCTAAGGGAAAAAATATTATTTTCTGTTGGATATTAATCCCGTTCAATTGAACAGCTTTGTGGTGATTGCACTGATTTTATTTATATGATGGAAAGACATGGTCACATGACATTTCCCGCATGAGAAAACTTCAGTGTGTTTTATTCCATTATATTCTTCATGGGTACAGCAGAATAGCAGATATCACTGTGGATCAGCATTGCACATTAGAGATGAAGCAATTATGGGTAGGTAGTGCAGTCTCGGATGTCAAATATGACCAGTTATAAAACATTTGAACTCACATTTGTATTTGTACTTTAAATTCATAAAGTTTTGTGCAGTGCCTTTTCAAAATAACAATTCTTCACAAGGTCACTGTTGGCTCTTAGGATCAGGGTGTTTTGAGAAGGACAATTGGTAACAATATATGCTGGTTGAATAAAACGAAATTTTCTCTTGTACAATTGGTTTTTCCAGTGTTACAACTTTTTGTCTGTGTTGGCACATGATCTGGTCCTGTTTTGAACTATGTTTTAACCAAGGCTTCTTATTTCTGAAAGCATCTTCTGAAGCCATCACAGCACTGAGCTTTTGCTGAGATTTGGAATGGTGAAAGACAAAATGCATTTGGCAGTGTAATGTCATGCAATATGTGTTGGCTTTACAGAATGTTTAGAATAGAGTCAGGTGCCTTAATTTGGTAAGGCACGTAAGTATAAAAAAAGGAAAGTGGGTTATTGCTTTTTCATTTAGAAGTTGCAGTAATATGTGAGGGAAGCAAAAGTGGCCATAAGATAGTTTTAAACTATAGGTTTTATCCTCTTCTAATTAGATTCTTCTTTTGTCTGTTTTTCTTATCTTTAATGCTTTTTATTTACTTCTTAGATTGTCAGTGAAATCTCGAGACTCAATGAGGATCCTAATGTGCAGGGCCTTGCCCTTGACCTCCCAGAAAGCTTATATAGCAGTAAGGTATTAAACGCTGTGAAACCAGAGAAGGATGTGGATGGGTAAGTGAAGCACTGAGAAATAATATTAGCAGACACAAGGCTGATGGCTCTGTAAAATCAATTTTCCCCTGTGCTTTTAATTAATGGATTCCTCAGTCAGTGTGTCTAGCTGTGCTATTGAGCAGTAATAAAAAATGCCACTGAATCAGTGAGAAGTCTTTTGCTGAAGTAATTTTGATCATTATCTTTTCAATCTTTATATGTTGTATATCCATGGTCTTTTCAGAGAAATCAAAAAAGTTCTGATTTACTGGTGATACTTAAAGTATTTCAGTACTTCAGTAATACAAATGGTAGTCACAAAGTACTGAAAACAACCCCCAAATTTTTCACAAGAAGGATTGAGGGAAAAATTGCAGAAAAGGTTTTAACTTTTTTGCAGCTCGTTTTCATGGTGGGAGAGCAGGTTATGACAGTTTGGACCCATTAGCAGAACTTTTTTGTCTTGAATTGCACTTCTGTCTGGAAAGACCACTGGCGTAATTTAGATGTCTGGATTACCATTTTGCTGCTCTTGCAGACTTCTTGCCCACAACTGCAGACTGTTACCCCCACCCACCCTTTTTTTTTTCTTTTTTTCCTCTCTCCTTTTCTTATGTCAGAAAAAATAAATCTGAAAATCTTGCAAATTAGTTACTCTTCCATTATCTGGAGTACTAGAGATTGACAGAGAATGGAAAATTCAGAGCATCCTTGTGTATGAGAGAGAATGCAGTGCAGCACAGAAGGACCTGAGTTCCCCCCAGCAAGCCAGCCTGAGCCTGGAGGATGTGTATTGTATATTGCTCAGGTTGGCTCTGGCAGCACTGGTCTGCTTCCACTGCATGCAGGCACTGAGGTGTTCCGGCCCAGTGTGCCCTGGGTAGCCCACCATGATGAGTAAAGAGCTGTCTACATGTCATGGGCTTGTGTTCCTTGTTTGAACTCGCAGATGCCTTTCCTGGCCTCTCTTGAGGTTTAGTGTTTGTCTGACTGGGATGTGGGATACAGATTAGCCACAGTACATGACTACCAAGGGATTTGCCATTATGAGATGTTGGAATTAGCTGTTAGCCATGTTACAGGTTCTGCTTTGTTATGTTAGAGGAACTCTCTTTTTTTAAAAATGGACATATTTTTCACTGCAGATTATCTGATGCAAACCTGGGACGCTTGGTACGTGGCGATGCCTGTGACTGTCTAGTTCCTCCAACAGTGTGTGCTGTGATGGAGCTTCTTGAAGATTTAGGTGAGACCTTCTATCATAATTACTACATTAATTTTAGCCTAACTAATTTTCTCAGTTTTAGTCCTGACTGAGAGACGAATATAATCTCCCTTTATTGTGTTTTTTTGGTTTGTGTTCTTTTCTCACCCAACACATATTTGTCTTCTGCTAGGGAGGAACCTCAGTGGGATCTGAATGTAATATTTGCAGAAATAGATCTCAGTCCTACAGATTTTGGAGATTAGGCAGGGATTACCTGCCATCAGCATATTTAATCTCATTGAAGCCACCCAAGACATCTGAGTTTTCAAAACCAAAAATACAAACATCACTTTCACTTGGCAATTTTGATCAGTTTTTGAACATTTAGAGAAATCCAGGTCTGCCTGTAAATAACTGCTGAGCAAATCTTTTGGTTTGGGTTGTATTGTGCAAATGCTAACATTGAAATGGCAGATTTAAAGAAGTGGCTTTATGGTGTGTGAAGACCCTGTTAGTTTAAGGCAGTGTTTCAGAAGTAGGCTCTCTGATAGTGATTCATAATTGTTGAGACAAGGATTTCTGTAACAGAACTGTAAACTGGAGGTCAAATGTACTTTGTAACAAATATGAATGAAAGGATTTACGCAAATAAAATACAAAAAAAACAGAAGAACAGTATTTTCTTACTCGAATTAGAGTCACAGGGGAACAGCGTGGCTTTTCTGGTGGGCTGTGGTAGTGGGTGGCCTGGTAGAAGTGGGGAGCTCACATAGGTGCTCCAGCTCTGTGTCCCTGCACGGCCGAGGGCGGCTGGAGGACTGAACGATGTGCCTTGTGTCACGCAGGTGGAAAGACGGTGCTGCTGGTGGGAGCCAGCGGGGCGATGGGCGCTGCCTTGCAGTGCATGCTGCAGAGGGAGGGGGCGGCCACCCTGAGCTTTCCTGCCTGGAAAGCCCCTCAGCTGCGGACCGAGGTGAGTGCTTTTCTCTCTGCCCAGTGCCTGGGGGTCATCCTGCATCCCCACTGTCCGGGCATCCACGTGGCACTGCTCCCCTTCGTTGCTGTTCCCAATGGGGAGATGTGTCGTTGCAGTCACGGGCGGCACTGGGGCACTGGAGCTCGCTGCTAGCCAGTGTGGTTTGGGGTCTTTTCTCTTCTTCTTCCTGCTTGCTCAGAAATGATGCTTAAACAGGGGCCTCCACCAGAATATTACATATGTAGCAGCACCTGCTATAACTTCATGATTTTACACCAGTAGATGTGAGAGAAATAATTCAGGGTTACAGTTGAAAACAAATGGTTTAGGTCTCCCTTTTTTCCCTCAGAGAGAGGGAAGAGGCCTGCTTTCTTCTTGTCCTATGGTATATTCATCTGTATGAAATTACTTTCATTAAATTTGTGTCTTAAAGCCTCTTTGGGGACAAGGAGGATCACAATCCTTATTTTTGAAGAGAACTCTAAAAGGATTCAGAGAAACTTGGGAGCCTTAGTTTGAAAGAATGATTTTACATGGTCTTCCTGGTTGCTTTTTGCAGAGCTTTTAGCAACAATTTGCAAGTTGGTATAACTTCCTGTCAAACTTCACAGTTTGTTCATTAGTCCCAGATTTCATAGAATAATGCAACTGGGAATGAGTTATCCTTTGGGCATGTGCAGAGGGGTTCAGATGTTCACTGTAGATGAGGTGCTGGTACTCCAGGGGCTATTTGCCAGTCGCTGTAGAGGTGATGTGCAAGGGACAACTGTGGTGTTCTATTTGATAGCATGTGCCACAAGGTGGCAGCCAATGCAAAATGATGGTGTCAAACCGCTCGGTTTTGAAGGCAAGGACAGAAAGAGGAAATAAGTTGAAGCAGCTGTGATGGTTAGAAGGTTCTCTGGCAAACCTGTGTTTTCACAGCTGCAGAGGTTTTTGTGGGGCTTGTCTCAGCTCTGTGCTTTAAGTGACTGACAGCACTTAGGAAACATATGCCCCTCTCAGAGATGGGAGCACTGTGATCTTCATGCTAGCCATGTCTCATTCTTTATTTTTCATTGCTTGGGGTTGTGCTAGAGGACTGGTTTGGGCTGGATGGGGTGCGTCAAGGAGTGGCCAGAGGTGTTTTCACTGGTGGACAGCAAACGATTTGGATCAGGCCAGAGCTGCTTGTACAGTGCTGTCAATATGCTGGAGAGAGATCTGCTTCCTTCCATCCAGATGCTTTCCCATAATCATGCTTTGCTTTTTGGCTTTCCTCATAGCTTACCTCTCACAGCAGGTCACTGATGGGAAACAGAATAGGAGGCCTAAGCAGGAGGCAATGTGAGGCTTTGCACATCAGTCTTCCCAAGTTCATTTTCACTTTTGGCAGCAAAGGAGTTTCAGCTTTGCCTGGGGGGCTAATCAGCAGAGCTTGGGGGAAACCTACCTTCCTCTTCCTCATTTGTAAGCCTGGAGCAGTGTGTCACCAGTAACCCTGAGGGTGCTGCTGAACCTGGCTGGATGAAACTCTTGTAGTTAACTCTAGCTCCTAGATGAAATCTAATGCATGCAGGGAAAACTGTCCTGTTTCATATTCCCAGAAGCCGGAGAGTCAGAAACCAAGCACAGATTTCCTACTGGATAACAAGGCACTGCTGTGTTGTGGCAACCTGTACTTGAAGTACAACTTTGTTAGATAACATCGTTATAGATGATGATACAAATTAATTTTCTCTTGCTTGTTTGAAATGCAGATTAAGTAAAAGCTGTTTAAAGGCTGACAAGGTTTCTTCTCTCGAGTTTTAAAATTTGAATTTCAAGTAAGAAAATGTGTTAGTTGATGTCAAGGGTTTTCCAAGACTTGGAAGAATTAATTCATATTTTGTTTTAACTGCACAATACACTGACTTTAGACATGGCTGTATGGTTTTGGGTTTTTTTTCTCCTTCCTCTGAATGTGATACCTGTACAGTAGTAGTCTGTGTGCTGTTGTTTGGAAGTATAACCTGTGGTAACATAACTTCACTTAGAAAGTGAGAGGTGAACTTCTGAAGAGTATGAACTTTTCATTGAGATGCTTTTGTTTTGCAATATATACCAGGAAAGGAAAAGTTGAGCTTAAGGATAGGTGTATCTTATTTGTCTTAATCCATTGTCTGGGCCCATTTGCAATGAAGCACTAATCCCAAACCTAATGTGTAATGCCTTTCTTAAGCAGGTACTACATTGCCTTTGACTAGCTCTGCTGATTTGTTCTTCTTTTTAAAGGGTAGCATAACAACAAGTGTTGCCTTTAGAAATTCTATCGGTTTAAATCAGACACACAACACTAAGGTTGTAAGTATTTTTGGATCAGGTTTTGTATTGCTGTGGACTCGTTACTGCTTCTTTTACTCATGCACTTTTGCAAAAATATTTTTTAAATGATCAAGAGGAAGGTATGTTTTAGTCTACCGTAGGAAAAGTCTAACAACATAGAAGTAGCTCTGCTGACAAACAGCATAATACCATCTACCCTCTGACTTAGTGTGCTCCTTTAAAGCAAGTCTTTTCTGTCTGATGTCAGGAAAGGGAATAAAATAAAGAATAATACATTTTAATTTCCTTGCTTTGACTTGCATGAATAATGGACACACTTTACATGTTCTTTTCCCTCCTCACTTCATATTTTTTTAAGTTGAACAGATCATTAATATTTCTTTTTGTTCCATTTTGGATTTTCTTGACTTTAGCTATTAAAAATAATCATCATGGCACAGCTGAGCCATGTCCTTCAACACTCTTGAGCTTCCTGGGTTTTCAAATAAAATAATGAATTAAAGAAAGCAGCATATTTCAGAAGATTTTGTCGCAGCTGTGTGTAGTTGCCATGAAGAAACGCTGTTCTCTTTGTGTTAATATGTTGGATCAGTAATGAATTAAGACATAAAGAGTTGAGCATTTTGGTGGAAATAGGTAAGATGTTATCATTCAGTTAAGCTTTGTGTAGATAACTTTTCAAAGCACAGTCAGTGTAGAGTGCCTGAAGAATGACCTAGTGACATATTTTCAGGAACATCTCACTTAGTAGTCCTGTTTTTAAGTAACAATCAAAAGTCAATTCAATGTTACAAGTAAGAAATGGGAACTGATGTGCTTAATACTTTATGATGTTAGAATTAGGCTATATAAAATAGGTTCAAATTGAAAAATGCAGATTATTTTCTTACCCAAACATGGATAATACTTACCATGAGGAAAATGAATTTAAATTCTGTCATCTAAATTCAGCCAGTCACAATTTCAACACAATCTTACATGTAGTGTGCATGTGAACCACATTATGCCAGTTTGAAGAGAGCTGCTATCCGTACCGTTTTGTTGTAAGATAACTGAAAATCAGTCTATCTAGGTATAATTAGGAATGGAAAGCTTGTTTGTAAAAGCGTTGTTGAAAAGTAGGAGAGTGGTTCAGCTGGGGTACATGAATTTCAAAGCACTGGAACAGGCTGCCTAGAGAGGTTGTGGAGTCTCTTTCTCTGGACATATTCAAAACCCGCCTGGATGCTTTCCTGTGCAACCTGCTCTAGATGATCCTGCTTTGGCGGGGAGCTTGGAACAAGATGATCTCCAGAGATCCCTTCCAACCTCTACCATTCTGTGATTCCGTAATGGGAGGTTCTTTTTCAGATTTGGTGAGAACCTCCTTTGGCCACAGTCTGCTTTTCCTTAGGGCCAGCTCTTAACTATTAGACATCTCTGTCATTTGCTGTCCTGTTTTTGCTGTCTCTATAAGACCAAGAGTCTTGGTACTGGCAGAAAAATATGTCATATTGTTGGGCACAAGTAAGCATGAAAGGACATGAGGACAGGTATACAGATCCCATAAAAGGAGAGGAGAGGGAGGCTGCCTGAGAGTTTCTAATGATGAAGCTCTAGACAAAGTATTTCTGTTTAAACATTTTAAATGCACCATATCTGTTCCTTGCAATATGAAATTTATCTCCCTGCCTGTGAGCTAGAGAAACAGTTGCTGAAGCATGCATCACAACAGTGATCCCTGGCACGAATAGAGAGTCAGAGTTATGCACTTCACTTGTAAGAAAGATGTAACAATATATTATTGATATAAAATAGTGAATTAACAAAGTTCAAAGGTTAACGCTACATTCATTTAGCAAGATTTGATGGTGAGGTTCACTTGATTATTTACTGCATATAGGACAGGGTCAGACAAAACTGTCAGGGAGACCCTCCCGTTGAGTCATGAGGTTTGGAAAGGGCCCCTTTGCTCAGTAAACTTCTTCTCAGGGAGGAGTTTATGTGCGGCTAGATCCAGTCCTAGTCCCAGACTTGCTCAATGGTTTATGTCTAAAGGATTATATACATGCGCAATCAGTCCTTTATATCATGTAGCTAAGATGCAGTTTAGCATGCTATTGGTCACCTACTGAGGATCTGTTGTGGCAAGGAATCTCTCAACCTCGAGGAGTACCTTTGAGAGGGATCCCTACTCAAGGGGAGATTCTGGCATGCAGCCCGCTGTCATTTCAGGAGAACTCAGTGGGCCCTGGGCTGTCTGCTATTTATGGAGTAAGATGATTGACCTGTAGTCATGTTTGCATACCAGCTGTATTTTGGTCGGTGCATACTCAGCAAGCCCTCTGCTGTTGGAGCAAGTTGTCCAAGATAGCCCTTGGCTATTGTTGTTCGTCTCCCTTGAGCCAGCTGCAGCTATCAGGACCAGATAGCATCCATTATGGTCACCACTGGTGGTTATCACCTGAATGCGGTAACAGGAAATAAAGATCAGATGGGGGGGGGGGGCAGGGGGAGCACACTGTCACAAGATCGCAGTAGAAATGTGGACCTAATTTTCACGTGCTCTGTGTAGGGCAAGTGCATTTGGGCCAACGTGGTAGGGGAAGGGCTGTCAGTGTCTGGGCAAGAAGATGGCAGCAGGGAGCTGGTGGCTGCCCACTGTGGCTCATCCCTGGGGAGTGTGGCCAGCAGGGAGGGATTGGAGCAGACCATGCGTAGTTGTCCCAAGGGTTGCCAATGATTTACGAACCATAGCTTCAGCTTCCTGAGGCAGAGATGGAGCTGGAAGAAACCATGTAAAGAGAACATGCTTTTGTGCAAAAAGTACCTGAAACTCGTCAGTGACATAATAAATTTTTGAGGTTTCAGAAAGTAATTAGATTAGCTGTGTTTGAAGTGGAACCTGACCTGTAAACTGATGTGTAAAATGTTTTTTTTCATAAGGAAAGTTGTGAAAAAGCTTTGAGTCAGGTTCCTATTCCTCATCCCATCTCTTTAGCTGCCCTAACTTTACACCCAGGAAACTGAGGGCTTTTACATTTCAGATACTAATTTCAAATATTTTTTTTTTCTTTGATCATGTATTTAAAAATGGCTTTTGTAGCAGTCAGTTTTAACTATGGGGAAATGAAATTTTTATGCAGGTTTCATGGCAAAACAGGTTTTCAGTTATCTGGAATATACAGCTACTTTGTGCCATTATCATTAAATACTTGGCTGGAAAGTCTATATTGTTGTTTTAACATTTGGTGTTCTGTCTTGGGAATGGGTGGTGCTTCTTAATCTGCTTCTACTTAAATCTTGGTGGAGGGAGTCATATTTTATTATGAGGTAAGGTTTCAGATTATTTATTGGCAGAGGTCTTCCCAACTGAAAAAATATTTACCAGTGAGAAGGCAGGATACTACTGGAGTATTAGCTTACTTTGTCTTCAGCCTGTTGCCTAGTGCATTAGGGGTGGTTTGGCACCATGCTTGTCATTCCTTCCTCTAGCCTGCCCGGTGGGACACAGCCTTGCTGTCCAGGGAGCCCCAGGCAGTTGGTCACCCTGCGGCCACACCTTCCCCCTCATGGGTGTCTCCTCGACCTTCTGGCCACTGCTGAGTGGAGCAGCTGGTTCCTGTCAGAGGCATCCTCTGTCCGGGGACCGTGTGGTTCATTGCTAGGGAGGTTGGATGTGATGATTTCATAGGTCTTTTCCATCTCTAATGACTGTGATTTGCTTCTGCTGAAGCAGATAAGACTGCACATGCCTCCCAAGGCTTGCTGCTTGCTTTAGTGGTCTACAGGCAGTCAAGAGTAGGTTATGGTGAGAGAGAAAAAAAAGCAGGAGAGGTATAGGCACGACTTCTTGTGAGTGAAACCAAAGTGCCCTGGTGGAGATCACATAAATCTCTTCCAAGGATACTCAGAATTCTGTAAACAACTATTTTGCTTTCAGGGGACTCCCTCTCCCAGTCAAACAAGTTTCTGGATATAATTTTTAAAAAACACTCAAAGGGGGAAAAAATATATAAAGTGTTTGTAATATGTATTTCATTGACTTTCCAGGAACTTTTTCAATAGATGCATATAAAATATTTGCTCATAGCAAGAGAGTTACAACTGTATCTGTGCCTTTTTTTTTTTTTTTTTTTTTTTTTGTCCTTTATATTTACTTTCTTTGTGAAATAAGGAAAATTAAATCATGGTGGGGATCGTTCTGAGATCAGTGTGTCTTCAACCTGTAGGACAACTGTTCACTGCCACGTGATACAACTTTTTTTCGTGGAGGAGGTGGGGCAGGGCAATGAGATGAAAGGCTCAGCTGATTTTCCAATACATTTACGGGTATGTGTGACATTAACCAACCAAACTAGTGTTAACATTGGCTACAAAAATGACTGTGTTCAGCTGTTAAGAACATCTTTGAACATTAGGATCGGTAGTCATAGAGATGAATATTTGCTCAGGTCAGTTGTTTTTTGGCATTGTAGTTACATGGGGTTAATTCTGTCATAAGTATGTTGGCTGAACGTTTGTCAAAATTATTACTTGTTGCATACAGCTCTCCACTGGTTCATGGTTTCACTATGCTAAGTGGTGTGCAAAGCTCTTAGTCCTTGTCCCAGAGGCTTTGCATGGAAAGGCATACCTGACTTTCAGTATATGAATTATAACTGCTAGAACATGAGTAATTTTTTTCTTACAAAAAAAAAAAAGGGGCTGGGTTCATATATCTGAGAATATTCACTGTTTCTCTCTGTTTATGATGTTGACTGTTAGGGCAGAGACTGCCTCCTTTTGCAGGGAAAAGCATGTCTTCAGCATAGTACTCTTGGGACACAAGTCATTGCAGCATCTTTTTATCCAAATTTGCTTGCAAATTCCTCAGTATGATTTGACCTGACACTGGTCAAGCATTATCTTACGTGACCTTCTAGGATTGGCATGTAAGTTGATATTTGCACCAGACGCAGGAGCATAAGCAGTTTGGAGAAGGCTGAATGGCTGTTGAGACTGTATGTTTGCAGGCAGTCGTAGATAGGAGTGTTGCAGAACCTCTGACTGAAGCCTGAATCAGCTCATTGCGTTAGTCATTTGTCAAGCGAGTAAATCTTCTCCCACGCTTTTGGCTTTGTTTCCGCGTGTGTATCTCTAAGGAGGGTTAGGCCATCTTTGTGTCCTCTGAGGAGAAGATGGAGCTTTTTTTTTGCTTTTTGCCTTTTCCGCTGCAGTTATGCTCCTCTCCCCTCCTGGATGCTCAGCTGTGCCAAAACCCTGCTATCCCAACAGGATTTGTAGCTGTTCTTTCTTGGCAGGAGCGTTGGGCAGGGTTGCGTCAGAGCACTTTTGGCCAAAAAAGAAGCTGGAACGCTCATCAGTCACAAATCAATTCATAGAGAGGCTCGCTGAGTTTGTGACACTTGCTATTAATTTACATTTTTCAAAATATTCCCCATATCACTGTATCTCTGAAATAATTTTTACATTCAGGCTTGAGGCAGTGCTGTGCTCGTATTTTGGTTTTTCAGTGGATCTTTATACATCTGCCTGTGGTGCTGTCCCTTGTCTCATGGGGATTACGATAATTGGTACAGAGCCCTGTTTCAGAGGAGGGAGGAAAGGAAGACACTTATGTCTTTGATTATAAGAGTTTTTGTAGGAACCATTTTTGCTCTGACATCTGTCAGGTTGAACTAAATCAGAAGCACTGATTAGCAAACGTGAACTGAGAAGGAAAAAAATGTTTTAATTGGTTTTCCTCAAAGGCATTGATGTTTGTAGATCAGGTCATCTTGCATTCCCATCAACTGGCCCGATTTTCTACTGTTGGATAATCTGACTGTACTCTTTATAATTGCCTGTTTACTGTCTTTCAACCCTTCTCTTTCTTAAGTGTCTCCAAGTTATCTTCTTGGGCAGGACTTTGGACAATGATAGGGCTTTTTCTTTGAAAGTATGTAGTCCCCATTAAATATTATTGGTGCTGACTGTCCCCACTTGCCTAATTTCAGTTTGTTTGCCTGACTTCATTTTGAATGCTATTGTTCTTAAATGTAATGTGGGATAAGAATCAAGCCATCAATTTGGATTTTTTTGTTGTTGTTGTCTGCAAATACTTTGCTCAAAAGACTATTGCTGTATAAGTTTAATTATTATAAGATACATGTTCAAGAATGTACTTCTAACATTAAGTGCTTGTTTTGTTTCTGGGGGTGTTTTGGGCTGTCCCTAGCTTCATCACGTGGATGTGGTGGTAGTTGGCAGTACAAAACCCAGTGATGTTCCTGTGAGCTGGATAAAGCCTGGAACCACCATTATCAGTTGTTCTCGTGACTTGTTGTCAGGTAAGAGGTGTAAAAAGATAACACTTCTTGAAAGTGATGTACAGAGAGTCTTTGAGATAAGTGTGTGGTGTGTTGGGGAGGGGGTATATGTCCATTAATTTCTCAGTTGAAAAATGCTACAGAATTTTGTTAGGAATAACATTAAGAAAGCTTTCAAGAAGCTTTATTCTATTGTACTGTTAGAATTGCATTTCCTGTAAAATTCCTTAAAGTCTTGTAAAGATCTGTAGATATTTTCTAGATTTTTCCTATGTGTATTAATTTGACTGTTCAGTGTCCAGATGGGATTATGCTGCGAATGAATAGGAAAATAAGGAAGTACGTGGGTAGTGTGACTAGTTAATGTGTTTTTCTAAATCTATCACAAATGTGCTCATTGACATCTATTGATACAAAACTGGGGAAATGGACATAAGGCCAAGGAAAACTACTTGTATGATTCTTAAGCTAGGAATATTCCCCAAGGACAAATTAAGCAAATGGTCTGTGTGGAGCTAATGCAAGATCAGGCTCATAATAAAGCAGCTGCTGTTCCCATGCAAAGCATGGCCTTGGCAAGAGATTCCTTTCCTTGTCTTTTGTGATACCCTCTTGATTTGAACACACACTGCAGGTGTGGGAGATCTGGGTTGTTATTTGCTCAGTTGTCTGAAGCATTTGAGCATTCACCTTCCACCTCCCAGAACAGTGCTCTAATCCTAAAGAGGATCTCGGGGGTGTGTACCAAGCCTTATCCCTTGCTGATGCTGCACAATTTGTCCAAAAATAATTCATGTTTTCTTTTTCCTAGCTGAGTGATTAGGAGACTCCTTGCATCTTTAATGCCCACTTATTTTGCATAGAGATTGTTAGATATAATTGTTAAGTATCTGTGGGGCAGAGCTTGGAGCATAGGTCTCTTCAGCAGGTACCCAACCTACTAGTATAACGTACTCTTATAAGAAGGAGGAATGGGGGAGAAAGGGAAAGGGGCAGAGAAGAGAGGGAATGGTGGGTACAGCAGTAGCACCTTTAAACAAATAAATGAAAGGGAATGACCCCTCCTCATTTTAATCCTTCTAAGCAGAAACCTCTTCGCTGTCGGACTTGGGGTGGAGGTGCAGGATGAGGGTGAGCCAATCCTTGCTGTCTGAGCAGCCACCGATAATGACTGAACTGCTTGAGAGAGTCCAGCGCAGAGTCACGAAGCTGATAAGGGAGTGGAGCATCTCCCTCATGAGTAAAGGCTGAGGGAGCTGGGTCTCTTTAGTTTGGAGAAGAGGAGACTGAGGAGTGACCTTGTTAATGTTTATAGATACAAAAAGGGTGAGTGTCATGAGGATGGAGCTAGACTCTTCTTGGTGACAACCAAGGGTAGGACAAGGGGCAGTGGGTGTGAGCTGGAACACAGGAGGTTCTGCTTAAACTTGAGAAGAAGCTTTTTTGCGGTGAGGGTGCCAGAGCACTGGAACAGGCTGCCCAGGAAGGTTGTGGAGTCTCCTTCTCTGGAGATGTTCAAAACCCGCCTGGACGCCTTCCTGTGTGATCTCATTTAGGTTCCTGCTCTGGCAGGGGGATTGGACTAGCTGGTCTTTTGAGGTCCCTTCCAATCCCTGTGTTCTGTGATTCTGTGTGATCTGTGTGAACTCTTCCGCTCTATGTGCAGCAAGTCCCATTTTCAGGTACCTAGTTCTGTCCTTTTGGGACAGAGGGAGTCTGGGTCTTCAAAGACCTAAAAGTTATGCAGTATAGCTGCATGCCATGTCCTGAGACTTAAGTATCTTCATGCCTTAGTTGCTCTATAGAACTGTAGCTAATATTAGTGTTTCCCTTCCCTAAAAAAATGCTGTTAGGAAAACTACATTAAAACATTTGAGCAGTGTTCATGAACCACAGCAACATTAATTCTCAAGGCAGGAAATGTAAGATTTGGCATAAGCATATAGATTTCTTTGCATTTTTCAAGTTGTAGCAGTGGGCTGTGCTAAGTACAGCATTTCTTTGGAAAGGCAGCATGAGATTTTTAGCAAGATAATTTAAATGGAACTTATCTACCAAATGTCCACCTGTCTTTATGATTATGCTTTTGAGATTGTCAGAATCTTGGAGGAACTCTGAGAGAATAGCAGAAATGCATTTTAGCAGCTTTAAAAAATGCTGGCCTCAGGACTTACTAGAGAGGTACATGAAACACAGGTATCTGACGGGAAGCATGCATGAAGTTTAGTTGCAAGTTATTTATTAAAAGCCTATTGTGGAGCAGTCGTGACCTTGGAGAAACAACTGAGTCTGACAACTGACTCTTGACTTTCAATATATGGTGGAATCTGGCTGAGCTGCTTGGAAATTGTTCTGGGTTTTTTCTTGCTTTAGAAATGTCCTTGCTAGATTTCTATCTTGCATAGATTTCTGTCTTATGTAGGTATACGTGTAATCTAACACAGTCAAAATTTGCAAGGACATAACTTAATTGGGCAGCCGTAATGATACGAGCCAGGAGAGCAGAGCTAAAATTGCTTGCTCCAAAGTGAGCAGAATTATTTTTCAAGTATTTTTTTAATCTGATCAAAGATTTTTAAATTATCACAATTTTAAAACATTCTACAATTTCTAGCAGTGCAACATCTTATTCTGCAACACTAATGATTTTGGAATCAAGTGAGTGCTGATAGTGTCTTGCAGGAAAATATATGTAAATGTACAGAAATGAAAATCAAGTTTCTGAACAAAATCTAAGGATGCCAAAATTATTTGTGATTTGATGTCCAACTCCTTTGAGGTCATTTGGAAGCTGAAGCCCATAGAGTTTAAGTATGTTAAATTCAACCATTTCCTCACCTCTTCTCTGTTCTAAGCTGCCTGAGCAGACAGGTAAGTGCAGGAGAGCAACCCTTGCCCATCTGCGCAATAAGGTACGGATAGAGGGGCCATGGGCCTTCGCTGGGGTGAGTCAGAGGAGGGAGCACAACGTCTGTGGTTCAGCTGATCTTCTGGCCATAATCCAAAGCAGAGAGTGCTATTCCAGCTCCCATCTGGAAAATTTATCCTAAGAGAGCTGTTGCAATCCTGTGATTGTCTTGCTAGCTCATGTGTGCATGACTTTCACCTCTAGCTTCACCTTCACCCCTGTAAAAGCCTGGTTAGTCATTTGTGGGGTGAGTGTGTAGTATAGGCAGCCTGAGAGGAGTAGTTTATTGAAGGGAAATGTCTAATTCTGATGTGTATTTACACACATGCTAGCTCTGCCCTGATAAAGAAGTCATTTTAAGCCAAATAACATAAAAAATCAAAATGTTTCTGTAAAGCACAGCTGTCTGAAAGGGGCTTTTAAACTTTATTCTTCCTACATTTGTCTTTTTGGCAGCTCTCCCAGCCTGGTCTCAAAGCAACAACAGTCAATTTATGACTGTGATAGACTCTTCCAGTAAAACTCTGCTGTCTGAGTCTAAAACTGAGCATCTCCAGAAGACTTTTTTTTTTTTTCTTTAAATGGCAAGTGTTAATACAAGTAGAAGGACTTTTCAGACACTTTTTTAATTAGGATTTAATGTCAGGACTGTCACCTTGTCCTTGGTTAGCTTTCTCACTGACGTATAGATGCCTGCTGGCAAGAAAGTTTGAGAAAGGATTAGGAAACACACAGAATGAGGCTGAGGCTGTCTGCAGAAAGGGTCTCTTGCTCTCCCAGTGATGTGTGTGAGAGAGTGGGCTGGAGCTGGGTGGCATGGGCTATGGTGGGGTGCTGTGCTGTCTGCTCTGCACACCTCTGCCTGCTGCTCTGGCTGCAGCCTGAGGTTTGGGTGCCCTGCCACTGCTGGGACCCTTGTCAGGAGGAGTAACTTTGCAAGACAAACTGGGCGTTTTATGGCTGGTACAGATGGGATGAGTAGAGTGAGAGCTTGACCAGGTCAGGGTTTGCACTTTGGCTCCCCTGTGGGGGAAAGGTTAAAACGGTCAGCGTACAGTTGTTATTTTTTTATTGCAGTTATGCCTACGCTCTTCAGAATGTGACTAGGGCCTTGATATGTCCACAGAGACTAGGATGTACATTTTGGAGAAATTGTGTCTAGATAAAAGTCGATAAGCAACAACAGAAGAAAAAGCCAAAAGGAGGATTACAGGAAAAAGACAAAATAATATGTTTGGTTAGGGTAGCTAATGTATGATTATTATATGATATATTGCCACTAGAAATAATTATAACTGTCTCTAAAGTTGGAGTCACTCTAAATTGTGTAGACTCTTCAGTATATCTACTTTTAATGTCACATTGATGAAAGTAACTTTTGCTGCTCAAAAAATTTTGCATATTCCGATTCCAAGATATAAATCCTGTTGGATAATAATCGTATGTTGTATTCTGTGATCGTTTCAGTGTTCTGTCTTGCTGTAATGGGTGTGTGGAAAAGAACAATCTTCACCAGGCTCATTTAGGCGTTCAGTTTAAAAATATATATAGCTTTTCAGATCCTAACAGCTGTCTGGATTTTTGTTTGTTTGTTTTTGTCCAAAAACAATTATTTGCATCCTGGAATTAATCTCGGTTTCCTAATTTTCTTTCTCAAGTATGTGTATGCTTTGTACGTGTGTGTTTGCGTAAAATGCTTCAGAGCATACAGTTGCTCTCTGGTTTTCACACTACATCCATCTTCCTGGGGGATTTCATTTGAAGTATTTAAGAAGCCACCTATAATTTTGTCAGTGATGTTGTTAAATTTCCAGTCAACATTCATAAATTTTTTATTTGGACATAGCTTGCAAATACATATGCCCCCCCTCACAAAAGCTTTGTGATTTATTAGTGCAATACTTTTATTTTGCAGAGAAGCACAACTGCGGTCAGCAGAACAACCATGCTACTGAAAATGCTGTTGGTTCTCTTGCAGTAGCAATGCGAATGCAGGTTAGTGTAACTTCGTTGTAAATTTGTTGCTCTTTCTGTGAGTTGTAGAAATTGCTTCTACAGTTTAGATTTTAATTTTCATTCTGCTCTTTTGAACATCTTGCTTACCTTCCATTTTGATAGCAACTCTTAATCAGTTAGGGCGAGTCATGCCTGTCACATTTAGTTAGAAAAAGGTAAATTAAAAATAAAACATCAGAATTCAGAAGCACATATATCAATAGACTAACGTTACTTGTTGTTGTAAGACAGTGAAGATTAATTATGTGTGTGCACATTATTGTGGCGTGATGGACAGAGAGTACAAAAGTTTGTTGTTTTATGTGGAAGCAGCATGAGTCAGTCAGTGAACAAGTAATATCTTTCATTATTTTTAAGATGTGAGAGAATAAAAGTAATTCTTCATTTTACCAGAATAAAACTTCCAAGTACCTAATTGGAGAGTTTGCTTTGTCACTTATGTGTTAATGGTCTGAAATGTGGAGAAACAATAGGACAGCAATAGTGCAGTGGTTGTTTTTTCTTTCATCCTAAAAGCATGAAATGGAAAGACTTTTAAATTTGGTTTTTGTTAGCCTTTGCCATAAAAGTTATTTCAACATCCTCGTGAGATCGTTTGAAATTGGTGTTCAGCATTTATGATGCAGCTGGTGTGTGCTGTTTTCTTCTTCAAAAACAGAACATGGTAAAAACCACGGAGCGATGGATCCAGTCCCAGCAGTACAGGAAGTGGGACCTCCGCTGCTTGAAACTGCAGCCTCTCTCCCCGGTGCCCAGGTAATAAATGGGGTTTTTTAATTATTAAAAAGAAAGAGTAGGCAAGAGTTCAGTGTGACAACAAACCTAAAAATGGTCCGTGCCTAAATATATTTTAATCTGCTTATGTGGAGTACGTGTTGTGCTGTTTGGTTGTATGCCTCATTGTGACCATGTCCTTCTGTTTCCTATCAATTTTTACTTTTATGATGTGCGTTGGAGCCAGGCTTTGTTTAATGAAGACCTAAAGCTGAAGGGTTTCATTGAGGGAGGGAGGTGAAGCCTTTTGTTACATAAACAGAAATACGAAGTACAAGAAGTTCCTAATCGCTAAACCCTAATGTAGGGAAGGTGTTTATGGATCTAGTAAAGGTCCAGTGATTTCAATGGCATTTGATCTTGTATGTTTTTGCTTCCCTCAGTAGAAATACGTTCTTCTCCGTTAGACTTCTAAATTGCTGTGTATATGTGAAAAGCAGGGAGCGTATTTATTCTCGTAGCCAGAATCTTTTCAGTCAGTTCCTGTCATTCACCTCCCAAGGCCGGTGTCCAGCCCGCAGGTGTTTTAGGGCTGCCTTGGCACAGTTGCTCTCAGCTCTGACATTTAGAGCAGCCTGAGCCCTTTCCTGCGCTAATAAAGTGCTTTGCTGTGTGTTGGCTGTGTTGGGTGACAGAGAAAGGAACCAAGGACTTGAAGTGAGGTTCTACCATGTAGAAAAGCTTTGAAATTTTTGTGTGCTTGTTTGTATGCCTGATTCTGGGCCATGCAGATGATGAAGGGACCTCACATAGGAAGAAAGGCAAAGAGAGCTGAGACTGCTCGGCCCGGAGAAGACAAGGCTCAGGGCGATCTTATCAATGTGTACAGATACAAGGGTACAGAGAGGATGGAGCCAGGCTCTTCTCAGTGGTGCCCAGTGACAAGGCAGGAGACAACGGGCATGTACTGAAACACAGGAGGTTCCCTCTGAACACCAGGAAAGACTTTTCTACTGTGAGAGTGACTGAGTATACTGGCACAGGTTATGCAGAGAGGCTGTGGAGTCTCCCTCCTTGGAGATATTCAAAAGCCACATGGATATGGTCCTGGGCAACCAGCCCTAGGTGGCTCTGCTTGAGCAGGGGAGTAGGTGGACCACATATCATCCAGAGGTCCCTTCCAAGCTCAACTCCTCTGTGATGCTGTAATTCTGAATCCCACTGCTGTGTTTTTGGAAAGCAGTAACAAAATGTTTTCTTTTCTAAGCTCTTTGATTCAGTTTTCTACTGTCTCTTACAACACTTTGATGGGAATGGGCACAATTGTAATATAAAATGGAAATGCCAAAAGAATGAGTTTTCTGTTGTACCCGGGGGCACAAGAGTGCTTGAGCTTTTCTTGGGCCAGTATTTAAAATTTCTAGACTTAAATCCTGAAAAATCTATCCTTAAATGATACAGTTAAACAGTAGATTAAAGCATGAAATGGCGTGAGTGTGATGGTGAAAAAAGTTTCAAAGAAAGTATTCACAACCTTCTCTATGACACTGTTTGTTTACTACATAAATATTTACATAATTAATATATAACGGCTTATAATATAACCAATGAGAGGGCTTCTGTTTATTTGCTAACTCTAAAGCTTTATTTCTTTTTTTTCTTTTAAATGTAAAATAACTCATCAGATGGAAAGTATCCTTCAATAAAATGTAATCTTACAGCAATACACCATGTTGTGTGGAAACAGATGGAGTTTTCATTGAAAATGAGGCAAAGCTACTTAAGCAGTAAAACGAGGAACATCTGCTTTTTGATTTCTGTGAGATCTGGGTGTTAATTGAAGTATTTCCAAAGATATTGGAAACGGAAAGTTTTCTTACAAATATGCAGTAAAAAAAAAATTCCAGCACACAGGCTCATAGATGTAAGCCTTCCCTCATCTTTTAAATTTTTCCTGTATTTTGTAAAGGATGACTTTTTGCTTGGCAAATCTCATACATACAGAAGAACCAGTGTTCCACATTTCCATCAATATTGAATAATCTAGCTTATTGAATAATTCTGGTATTTCTGATATGGAGAATGTATTGTCAAACCAAAAGAGCTATGTACAAATGTAGACTTCTAAATGCTAGTTATAATAAAATGTTTAATTTCCTGTGTTTTAGAAAAAGAAATAGACCAGATGTAAACATTTCATGTGTGTTGTTTAGCCCTAATAGTAGTTAAGGTATAAATATCAATTCATTGTCAAATTATGCCTTTTATCACTTTATTGCATGTATCGGTGTGCAATCTGCCATTAAAAGTTTTCTAATATGTTAAAAGGGCAGTTGCCTTGAAGGTTCTTGAGGGAACTTCAGATAGGGAAATGATGACAGCAGTGGTTTTACCAATAGAGAACTGTTAGTATCCACTGTCAATTTTACTTGACTTCTAAAAATGTTTGTAATTTTATTTATGTAGAAATTCTTTACCTTTAAATTTATAAGTTTACAGCTTGGTCAGTTTTGCTTCTTTCACTTTTTGCCAGTAGTAGTACCTGCCAGGTGGGAAAAGGCTCATTGTTTCTTCCAGAACTCTGAGAAGGAGGTGTTTGTGGCCCAAGAGATCAGGGAAATAGGAAGGGCTGAGATTGCTGCAGGGGGTCTTGATAGTCTGGCCTGAGATTTGAAATAATAGCTTTTGTCTTTTAGTAAATAGGCTGACATATTTAGTAGGAGAAAAAAAAAAGGGCAGGTTAACTTTGTGTCATATTAGTCTACATCCTTCTCTCTTGCCGAATACATCAATTGTTTTAATAGCAGAATAGTCACCCTACATATTTTCCTTGCTTAAATCTTTAAGGGTCCACACTACCATCAACTTACCAGTATTTTTCTGGGAATCAAGTTGGTTTTATATAGAGAGTTCTAAATGAAGACTTTAAATATTCTTTGTCATGTGATGTTTGTAAGCCTCTCCATCTTGTCTTCTCAACACATTTTTGCAGTTAGTTATGTTTGATGTAGTGTATAAAAAAGCCAAAGTTATGTTCTCCTATGCAAGAGGAAGCACTTAGTATGTCTTTGAAAGTAAGCAGCTTCCAGGTTAGTGCATGCAATGAAACCCCATCAATTGAGTGCTGCGATTGAGCAGTTTCTTGTCCTGTAATACTGGATTACATCAGTGTTTGGATGGAGGATTTCTGGGTTTCACTTAGCTGCTGCAGGGTGCAAAAGTGGGATACTTGAGAATTAGAGTTGAATAATAGTCCCAGTTCAGGATATCCTCAAAGAATTGCAAGCGATTAAGTTGGCACAAACTGATAATTTGCTGGTGGATGTGGAACAGCTGAAATCCACACATAGAGCTGAGATCTGGCAGTAGTTCTGTGTTCATCTGTGGATATTTGAGGTCCTGCAGACTGTTTGAAAGTTCAGAACATTAGCTTTGATGCTGTTGCCAGATGCTATCTTAAAAATATTGTGATCAACTGAAACTGCAGGAAGGAATTTAACCTGGTTAGGCTGCAAGTAATTAATCTCTTGATAATTTTTTAACTTGCTTTTGTGGTGGTGTGAGCAATTCAAAGCCAAAGGAGTCGACTCTTCACATCTTGTGTTCCTGGCCCTGGACTTTACTGCCATGAGAGCTTGCAGCTGCTAAACACTTAGGTGGACTCCAGGGGCAACTAGCTCAAGCTCACCAAAGAAAAATCCATGAAGGAGTATTAAATCCAAAAACCTCATGTGGTCTAGGTCAGGAATTGCAGATACAATAGTGTCTCCCAGCCTACAGCCACCTCCCCTCAGGCAATTCTACTATGTGTGCTTGCTCCATGCTTGTTCTCTTGCCTCAGCTGCCACTCGTGGTCCTTGCTGGAAATAGTTTATAAGCTCACTGAACTTCTGGCCTGAGCCCTGGACATTAAATTCTGCCATGTGACCATTTTCAATTTAGCTGTGTTTTAGAAGTGCATGAGTTGATCTTCAAATGCCTTGTTTCCTTTGGTGCCCTCATGGGGGAGTAGCGAGGCTTAGCTTGCGTGGCAGTACCCTCTGATGAAAGGCGTTACATGCACAAGCATCAGGTTTAGCCAATGTGTTTATGTGACTGTTGGCCAAGGAATGTATGTGCTTTTTAGTAAAGTGTAGGTGCTGAAATATAGTGGGAGGGAAGAGAAGAAAAACAAAAACAGAAACATCCATTCCAGTGGGACATGCTTGAGCATCCAGCAGACACGTCTGTAGCTTGATATGAAAGCATTATGTAATATTTGGAATCTGATGAAACGAAAGAACTCTGTGTAATTGTAACAATTAACAAACACTGCACATTATTTTCAGTGTTATATTAGGTGTTAGCAAATCTTTAGGTTTGGTTAATAAAATGTGAGAAAGGATTGAAAATAACCCCATTGTTGGAGTATTTGTTGTTGTTTTGTGCTCTGTTGTTGACCACCTAAGCTGTGAGAAATCTCCTAACTCCTATTTGTTTTCTTTTCCAGTGATATTGAGATTTCCCGAGCGCAGAGTCCAAAAGCTGTTGATGTACTTGCCAAGGAGATAGGATTGCTTACAGATGAAATTGAGATCTATGGCCAAACCAAAGCCAAAGTACGTTTGTCTCTGCTGGAAAGGTTAAAGAATCAACCAGATGGAAAATATGTTCTAGTTGCTGGGTAAGAATGCACATTAATGTCATTAGTGTCCACCCTTTCCACTCATATTAATATAAACATGCAGCTTACATCTTTTTAAATCATTGCACAAATAAGAATCCCGAATGTTTTCAGCTGTATGTTGCTCTCTTCTGAAAGCAAACAGTTTTTGAAATTTTTTTGAAGTAACTTTTTTTTTACCGAAGTGAAGTATATTTTATAAAAGGTAGTTTGTTTTGCGCTTCTTAAATGTTATCTGTTGGTGTGTGGAGTTTTTCTTACTGTTTTATTAGAATTTTAAATGCTTAACTTGAATATTTAAGTCTGTGTGTATTGTGGCTGTTTATAAACAAACTTTAACAGAAGATACATGATAATCTGTTGATATTAACAATAAATACTTTTTTTATTGAAGAACAGATTACAAAGTTGAAAAAGACATGTTTTTTCTCTGAAATGTAGACATGTCTCCAGGCAGGCTTATCGTGCTCACTGTTCCCACGATTATAGCAAATGCTATGCTCAGCAGTAATTACATGCTTCTCTTCTAAACAGCTATGATTTTTTTCTGCATTCAGTGACACATCATTTTTTCATTCACCTAGTTTGCTAAGTGGAAACTTCTAAGTGTGAACAAACATGTGAAGATTTTCCTTAATATTTAAATTGCAATGTGTTCTTTATATTTTTAATTCATCTATATGGTTGCTTCCTTGTAAGTAAAACCAGTCAGGTTTCAAATACACCTTTAGGCTGATCCAGAAGAAGACTGTTCTTAACTGCCTTGATCTACCAATTCCTCAGCTGGGGTAGTGGTTTGCAAACTGTTTGCTTTATAGAATCATAGAATCATTTAGGTTGGAAAAGACCCTTAAGATCATCAAGTCCAACTTTAGTACCATCCTGTGGCACAACATGGACTTCTGGCAGTATCTGAGATAATGATTGATGAGACTTGAGAGACCCGATGTTGCAAAGCTGAGGCAGACAAGTTAGCAATCTGTCTGCAAAGCTATAGATAGAACTGCAATGTATAAAGATGTTCCTGGACGACATTGGAGCAGTTGTTTAAGAGAAGGAAATAATAGCTGTTTGAGCCTGATTTCCTTCAGTAGAGTTTTATATTCTATTTTCCTGCTTTGGAGAAAGAAAAGCAGATTCAGCATTTGTCTGACTTTGAAGAAAGTTGCTACCATGTATTTTCTGGCTCATGTTGTCAGCTGCATCAGCTGGGCACCATGCTGCCAGTTTCTCTAGCAGTAGAGTCGCACAGAAGTAGAGGTTATTTGAAAATTTCTGGAGGTGGACGATAGCATGATGTAAAGCCCCATTCAGGTGGATTTTAGTTGTGCTGGGTGGTATGCACCAGTGCTGACATTTCTTCTCACTGCTTTGTCTGTCAGTCTTCTTCAAGGTAGGTAGCTCAAGCAATTGTCTGAATGTTGTTTTGTTGGCACAGACAGAAGTCGGGGGAAGAAATACACGGGGAAGAAATCGGGAAGTTTTGACTAGCAAGATGAAAAGCTGGCAACAAATAGAAAATTGTATCTTCTTAAGTTTATATGACATGTGTAAAGACTGAACTGTGTTTCACAAACAAATGAGTGTGTTTGGTACCTACACAACTTGATTATGCAGTATGTTGCTACTGGTGACTTCTCTGAAGTCATTGCATCTCATGGTGTGAGTGCAAAGCCACCTCTACTGCACAAGGAGTGCCTGGGCAAGGCGGCTACAATAGTGGAAACGTTCTCTTCTGAGAGGGTTCAAAGTTTGACTTTGAAATATTGTACATATAAAATATATAGGTGGTTTGTGTTTTATGTGTTTTCATTTGCTGAACTGACTGTAGCAGACAATGATTTTAAGAAAAACAGGGAACTGCATCTGGTGGGGAAATGTTTAGTACATGAAAATTGAATTCCACTCAAGTGTGGAAAGTGGGGAGTGAAATAATATCCTCACAGTTACCTTCTTCATCCTCTCCTTGCCAAGGCAAGGTCAACCAAAACCTGCCATTTGGATTATTATGTTTGTTCACAATAATCAAAGACAATTAGAAATTATTTTATAATGATGCACTGGAGGTCTTCGGAATAAGTTTTCAGTGCTTCAGAGGAAACATTTAAGATATATGCTTATACTTCAGGGTATTTGGTCTGATGGAAATATTAAGTGTGATGTGAACTTTTCATATGTGAAGGGAGTGAAAAGTTTGTGTGTATTCAACAAGCTGCAAAATCTCCATTACCCATCCACGATGCAGACAGTGACATTTGTGCCTGTAATTCCACAATCAAGTTTAAATATTTCCTGATGCCTAGGAGTTATAAATATTTGCTGCAAACGGTCTCCTAGTTTATTCCTGATGTGCTAGAGCCCAAACTTGTTGTTCTGAATAGCAAAATGCAACCATATGTACCTTTTAATCTCCAAGGATAGTTGTATTTATGACTTTTTTAAAAGTTGCTACTAATTGGAAAGTCATCTTTGCACTTTCTGAATGCACTCAAATATGCCTAAATGCCTCATCCAGTACATACTTTGTCTGCTGAAAAATTGCAGTTTGATTAACAGATCATGTCTCCCAAAAATAAGATGTAGGCTTAATTTCTTTACAACTTCCACTTTCTCCTATGTGGACAGCATGTTACTCACTTTTTTCATTCTCCTTTTTTTTGTTTGTTTGTGTGTGTGTGTGCATGTGTGACTTGATGTAGGGCTTGTCTTAAGACACCTTGGGGTCAGAGCTATGAGTTGTCATGGAGCCATTAACTCTTGGGCATCAACTGCCTGTATACAGGCTTTTAGTGTGCTAAAAAAATTACGTTGCAGGAGACGTTAACTCAAACTGTCTCCCATTCACTGCAAGCTGAGAACGTGCAAATGAATGAACCTTGTGCATGACCTAGTAGCTAAGTTTAGTGCCCAGGGTAACTTAATCACATATTCAAACATGTAGATAACATATTCCTAAACACAATATGAAACTACATCTAAAATTTGTTAAACTCTGTGTGTGTTCCAGCATTTTGATTTTAAATGCTCCAGTGCCGTAGCTTTTACCGGTTAATTCTGGAAACTTTTTCACTTCAAAAATGCAAGCAGAGGAATAATAGAACGTGGACAAATTTTGAAATATAATACTGCTTTTAGTAAGAAGTGTGTTGGATTTTGAATGCTGGAAAATTTAAAATCAGTACTTTTCACCAAACATTAATAGATTGTTTTGTGAAGAACTACCTTTTTGGTAAGATAAAAATGGAGGGTAATAAATACTGACATCGTACATCGTACCTGTTGTACGATGGTAAACATCTTAGGAACAGAACTTTCAGATTTGGAATTGCGTTCTACTTCTAACAGGTACATATTGGATTGTATTTGTGTTCACTGTATTTTTTGGGCCACAGGGTGCTTGAACGAAAAGAAGAATGGTAGACAAAAAAGGAAAAATTCAGGGAACAGTAAATGGGGAAAATACCACTGTGTTGATGCAGTGAAACATCTGACAGTCCAAAGCAAAGTCATGTCTGAGGCAGTTTGTCAGGTGTTCATCATGTTGTTGCACAGCTCCTGGTTGGGATTTTGTCTTGGATGGATCTTCGTCAGCTTTTGAGAGTTTGTAGTTGTGGATTCATCAGTCTGTTCCTGGCTTTGTTCAGTCATTTTAGTTTCACAGCGATCACTGTGCTTTTGTATCTGGAAGTTCCAGTCCCATTTTGAGGGTGCCACTGCAGTGTTGTCATAATCTCACCTTGATGAGGTGACAGGACTTGCAACAATTCTCTGCTCAGAAGTATATTTTTGACAGTTGTAATCTTGGATGGGAGATGTATGTAGATGAGGCTGTCATTTATGGGAGCTCGATTGCCCACGCCGTACATAGCTAGGCATCGCAGGTTTCTGTGTAGATCACAAGAATGGTGAACTCATTAAAATCTTTTAAATTGCTGACACTGATGAGTTGAAGATAGGAAATTCGAAAGAGAAGAAATATCATATATCCAGTAAAGTTCTTGCCGGAGTCATAATGGCCAGGGTAGCTGTGAGGAGGTTACAGCTGGTGCAGTGTATCATCTCACTGTTTGTTTATTTTCTCTTTGGGAGACCTCATGTAGCTTTCCCACAGAAACCACTCCACTGTAAGCTAATGTGATGTATAACAAACAAACACAAAGTCTGCATATTCTTATCTTTGTTTTGATATACATAAAGAGAGAAGGCTTTCCAATGTTATGGAAAACTTACTTTGCCAAGGAGCTGGTCACTGCTTGGTAGGTGGCAAAGAAAGGAGTTTTAAGCAGGAAAATGATGGTGAGGCTTCTGTGTTTAGACTGAAAACATATTAAAGAAATTTGAAGAATAATGCAAATGAATGTAAAAGTCTCTTGAAGTTCATTAAAATTTACTGTATTTTAAAGGAGGCTTTTTTTCTAGATTTGCATGAGGTCAAAACACAGCATTGCACAATTGAGCTAAAGTTAGCCATTGCCAGCTGTAATTTTATACTCATGCGAGCGAGTGACCTAAGTTGCAACAGTGGAGGCTCAGTAGTGTGGCCAGCAAAAACATCCTTGTCCACAAAACAGTTTAAGTTGATAATTTTATTTATAAAAATTGATCAAAGTAGACCAGGTACAAAAAGGAAGATATTTTAAATAAGCTTTTAAAGGAAATTATTGGAATAGAAATGTCTTATAATTTCAAGCTTGTTTGATTTGGTTTGGTTTGGGGTTTTTTGGGAGTTTTTTTAAACTAATATTTAAGATGGATGTTCTGGTAACTTTTGAAACTATTAAATAACTGTTTAGCTCTTAAGGTTTCTCCTGTAGTCTTCAGGCTGCTACTGAGCCTCTGAGAATCAAAGATGTCCTGCCAGGGTGTCTCATGTAAGATGAGAAGTTGAGGATCGATAAGGTTTTTTTTTTTATTCTGTAAAAAGCCTTTCTTATAGAAAATTCCCAGTACTTTCTGACTCATTTTACACAGTCATTTTAGAATAGGCCAGCCAGGTTACCTGAGCATTTTAGTAATGTGGCACTTGATTGTGTCTGTCTTCTGCAACAAGTAGATACTATTCTTCAAGCAACTAGTAACATGCCTTCTGTTTATGCATTTGTCAATTCCAATTTCCTTTCCTTTAATGAATAGTAGCCTACATCTCTGATTTTGGCTTGTTTCACAAGAGTAGTAAAGAGTCCCTGTGCAGCTGTGTATGCCAGGTCAGCCTTCTGCCATCTTTTAAGCTGCACATGAGTAAATAATCTAGTGATGATGTTTGAATTCTCTCGAATATGAACTTCATGTGTCCAACAAGAAGCACTGCAAATACAAGTTGTTCTGTTAGCAGTGCAGCCGTTGTGTGCACTGAGTCTTTGGGGTTTGTGAAAAGTCCTTTACTGCTAACTTCCAGTAAACAGTTATAGGTGTCACCTTCATAGCAGAATAGTTTGCTTTTTGGTGGTGCGGGGTTTTTTTGGTGGTGTTGTTTTTTAAATAACTAATAGCTTAAAGAGTTATTATCTTGTTAAGTCTTTGAATGAGTGCAGTAATGCCTCAAGATTGCTCTCATATTCTTTAAACTCATCTTTAATACTGCGGTGGTTTCACTTGGCTAGCAACCAAACACTGAACAGCTGCTTGCTCACTCTCCCCTGCCCAACCAGGGAATAGGGGAGAGAACTGGAGTGGTAAGGGTAAGGTGACTTGTAGGTTGAGATAAGAACAATTCAGTACCTGAACTGAAATAAAAAAAACCTTAATAATAATAATGGTAATAATACTACTAATAAAATAATGGTAGTAATAGTAATAATAAAATATACAAATGAGTGATGCATAGTGCAATTGCTTATCACCTGCCAACCAAACCTGGACCATTTCCAGATAATGATCCTGGAGGAGTGACAATCCCCAAACTGAAAATGCAATCCCAGAAGAGCAGGAACCCAAGTGAACAAGAGCCTGAGACACCCTCATTAGAATACTGAACATGATGTTATATGATATGGAATATCCCACTGGCATATCTAAATGCTAGTTTGAGTTACTAATTTTAATATTTTACCCCTCTAGTCACACCTGCAGACTAGCAAAACACAAAGTCCTTCGACTTCCAGTGACAACTGAAAACATTATTATGTTATTAACGTTCTTCTCGTAACAAATTCCAAACCAAAACACGATGGTATTCTAACTACTAAGAAGAAAAGTAGCCCTGTCCCAGCCAAAAACCAGGACAAATGCACAGGAATAAAAGGAACAAGTAAATGAGATGAGTGCAGTAGACAAAAGTGAATGAGACAGTAAGAGAACAAGGGACAAGGAGAAACCATGCTAATAATGATTTGAATGGGTTGTGGGCAACCAGTGTTAGAACAGTAGTCAGGAAGGTGAAACTGGTAGTGAAAGTGAGTTAATCTGAAAGAAGCATCTTTGTACAAAAGTTAGGATCCTGGGACAAAATGGAGATGGAAGAAATAGTGGTGGGAAAACCAGAAGCTATCATTGTAGTAACAGTAAAACCAGGAGGGCTCACTGTTGTGACAATGTAGAAATTGAAAAGTGTCCATTCTTCTAGGAGCTGCAAATAGGAAAGTGAAAGAAATGAAGTAGCATTCTGTGCTTCTGCAGTAGATCAGAAAGAAATAAGAAGGCATAGTATGGATAAAAAGACGTTGGGGACCAAAACTCCTTTTGAGAGTAGATAAAATGAATTCTTCTCAGGCTATGCTCTAAATCCCCTACCTTTTGTTGACTCGACATAGTTATTTTGGTAAAACTCCATTAATTCCCTTTTAAGTCAAGGGAGTGCAGTTCTAGGAAGGTGGGGTGATGAAATAGTGTGGATAGTAAGTTATTGACAATGTTTTAGAATCTGATGGTTGGCAAACATGATGTTATATATGTGAGGAAAAAATGACTAAAACCAAATGCCCAAATTAAGTAACCCATGTACTACGAGGTCATATAAGAGTAGCTCAAAGCTATCAGTAGACAAAATACTATTTATGAAGAGTCTCAGTTCAGAGAATCTCTTACAGATGTACTAAATCCCATTGATTTCACTAGAACTTGAGCTAAAAGATTACTTTTCTGAATAGGAAAATTCTTTCCTAGAACAGTATAGAAGACGTTAATTTGGCTTGTCTCCTATTGCCCAAATTTTTCCAGACATATCTAACAAAGGCTTATTTTTTAACAAAAAACCCCCAGGATTGGATGATGACGTAAAAGATAGATTTGTGACAAGTTAAAGTTTTTCATGTGTTTACATTTTGTGGTACAAAGAAGGGCTTTTGTTAATCTGTAAACTAACTGAACTAAACTGAATCTTAAACACAAGGATACAACACTGATGCCTCCTTGCATTTGACAATGTTACTCATGTTTTTATGCCATTTGAATTGTGATCTGAGGACAGCAGTATCTTGGAAAAATTGCTAGTTGGGAAAGGAAGTGTTTCTAATTAGAGCTAGATGTCCTAGCTCAAGCATTGAAGAGGTCATAGGATAAGGGTTCCTCTGTCTAGGATGCTTGTGCTTGCTCATATTTGCTTGAGAATTAACTTTAGTTCTTAACATCAGCTTCACTAAGGTACTTACTTCTCTGCAGGTAGCGAAGGCAGCAAAGATATGAATGGTTACACTTTGCCAAAAAGCAGGACTTGTGTGAGAGTGGCGTGAGTGGAAAAGGGACTGGGGCTTTCTCCTTTTTCCAGTCAGAAGGAGAAATGCAGTGCCTCAGATGAATTATTTGAATGCTCTTTGGAGACGTGAGATGTGTTCCTACTTTAAGAAAGAAAAGAAAAAGGGAAGAAAACGCCAAGACCTCCCACTTTTAACATGGATCATAAACAAATATGCTGACCTTGAAAGTGGGGAGGACGTGACTTAAACTGAGATGTCTCATTCACACAAGGCTGATGGAGTTTTCTACTTGCAAAATCAGCTGTCCTCGTCCCTTCATTGAAGGGGCAAGAATAGTCTTTGAATGGAGGTTAGAGTCTCTGATTTGAGATTCAGTGCCTTTCTAAAATTCTGTCCTGGTTCAATCATGGTGTAGATGTGGAAGTTGTAGCATGAGGTTTTTGAGTTTTTGTATGGGAGGTCAGACTGTGATTGCGATTGTCCCTCATCACCCTTAAGTGTGCAAAAATATCATTAAACGTAACTGCCCAAACCACCACAAAAATAAATCATGTTCAGTTGAATATAGTGACTTTTGTGTCCTGTTTTATTTTAAAACCAGTTGATCAGTCATTGTTGAGAGTTATGATGACATGGAAGCTGGAAAAGAATAGTTGATCTCTACAAACAAGTGTTGGTTATTTAATTTAAAATAGTCTCTTATTTCATTCACAGTTTGAGCAATGGGAATAAACCATCTCATGCATTACTACAGAAAAGTATTAATACATGCTCAGAGTATCTTGATGGATGGTTTGTTAATGAAATGGTGAGACTTTTGTGCTGTAATAAAAATGTCTAAATTCAATATATTCTTTTTAGAACTTTTGCCAAAATAATCTTCTCTTTTTCTGCTATCATAGTAAATTGCTTAAATAGAAGACACATGTATATTAGCATTCCAGCTTGAGCTAGGGGCTAACATTGTGGCAATATTTTTGTGGAGATAAAGTAATCTTATTGAAATTTGCTGTACAAATATTCTTCATTGAAATAAAAAGCTGTAAGTTCTGATATACTTAGCCAGGCTGACATCAGCAAAGAATTTGATTAATCTTTTTTCTTGTTTTGCTAGAATAACCCCTACACCCCTAGGAGAGGGGAAAAGCACAGTCACAATTGGTCTTGTCCAGGCACTTACTGCGCACCTTAACATTAATTCATTTGCTTGTCTGAGACAACCTTCCCAAGGACCTACTTTTGGAGTTAAAGGTACATAATATTTGCAGACTCTATGACCTCTTCCAGCTTAAAAGGAAATACTGCTTGCTTTTTGATTTGGGGTTTTGTTAGTTTGTTTTTGTTGGTTTGGTTTTTTTTAATTCCCTAGTTACTTCACTAGCTCAGTGGATTGTCTGAATAATAGCGTATGGGATTTTTTTGATAAATATATAACTAATAGATGAAGGTTTCTTGCACACATCTTCCCGTAAAGGTTATGCAGGTAGTTCAGATAAAGCCCAAACATAATGAAAGGCATGGGGATGAGTTAGGCAGGAGGAGTTTTGTGCCAGTACACACTCTTCCAGACACTCCTCTGCTTGGAGACTCTCTAAAGATGTCTCTAAATGTTACTGTTTAATTATTCCTTGAGAAGGAGTCCTAAATCCACTCATATTGATTTGAAATATCCAAGCTAAGGAAGTTGGCAGTTATGCATATGGTTCAGCTGTGTCTGCATCATATGTTTGGCCAGGTCTGAACCTCTTCTCTCTGTCCTTCTGAGTTGTCCCCCCTAATCGTGGGCTGCTACCTTTTTGCCTAGAAAGCCTTGTAAGAGCCTGAGGGCCAGGTAAGAGCCAGCCAGAGTTCAAACCTGTCTTCAATGCTGATAGGAAGTAATGCAATCTTTTTTTTGCCATTTCTCAGCTGAGATTGGTGCCTAGCTGGGCAAGCACTCCCCATCTGCTCTACTTTGCTTTGCTGAAGTTTAAGTTAACAAGTTTGATTTCAGCTGGAAGGCTCCTGGTGCTTTGTACTTCTCAGCCAGGACTGGTGCATGTGAGTGCTTTAATCCCTCCACTCAACTTGTGTGTAGGCTACAGCAAACTGCTTTGCCTGTGCCCGGAGAGGCAGTGGGGTCTCAGGCAAACATCTGAAGGTTTTGTTCAGAAGCAGTAATTGCTTGTGACTGCTGTGTCTTTCCATCCAACAGCTGCATGTGCATGATTGTGTCCTAAATCTGGGCAGGAGCAGAGGGTACCCCTTACCTATCCAAAGTCTGGACCAGCTGTCACGTGTAGGCCTTCCTGCTCTGAAAAGCCAGCAAGATTTAAGAAATTCATGTTAATTTGGGTGCATCACTGATCCCCTAACAGAAATCAAAATGCTGAGAAATGGGTCATCAATGCTGTGTGTTTCACTTTGCGTGTTTAAGGGTGGATGTTTGGTTTTGGGTTTTTTTTCTAAAACTGGTGCAAGTCTGATGTGACCATGTGCTTTCCTGTACAGGTGGAGCAGCTGGTGGTGGATACGCTCAAGTGATTCCCATGGAGGAGGTGAGGCAGTGGGGGAGGCTGCAAGTCCTTGTCTTTCTGTGAAGGGTGGACAGGCTGAGGTGGCCACTGCAGCACTTGGTCAGTGGCAGTGGTCTGCCTGGAGAATTGGGGTGGCCCTTGCCATCTGCATGTGGCCCTTGCCACCTCCATGTGCATGCTGTGTGACATGGAGGGGGGCTGTGGAGCCGGGATGCAAAAACATTGTACAGATACTGTACTTGTTTGTAATATCTCAGCTATCATTCAGGTGCTTCCTGAGAAGAAAGCCTGCTATCCACGTGTAACATACAAGACAAAAAGCTGTCTATGGCTATTTTTTTCCTTTTATATCCACATCTATTGTACAAGAGAATGAAAAAACATTACTTTTCTGGTAGCATAGAAATAGGCAGGGAGGCCGAGGCCAAGTGAGTTGAGGAAATTTGCTTCTCACATGTATATTTAATATGTCTCTTTAGCAGAAGTCACCGAGTGTGGCAAAGCAGAATTGTTTTTAGCCAGGCTGATCCTCCTGTGGTGGACAGACCCAGAATACTGTGGAGGGGTGAATACGACAACTTCTGTTAGACTCGTAAAAGGAAGATGATTTGGCTCAAAACCAATGATGAAACAGAGAAGTCTCTTGTGAAAAATTGTTTTTCACAGGTGCAGGCTGCTGAGGAGCTGCAGGAGCCAGGGTTCCCTATGGGGATGGCCAGGCAGGGCCCATCCCACCCCCCAGCCAGGAGCAGGCAGCCGGGGGCGCTGGGTCAGCCCCAGCCCTGGGAACCTCCCTGGGAATGGGCTGAGACACAGGCCTGGCTCTACCCTGCTGTGGTGTGGCTGGGGCAGGGACTGGCAGCCCCAGGGGCTGGCATGGGGTCCTGGGCCATGGGGGAACCCTGGGGGGCTGGGCAGGGACAGGGCTGGTGGTGCCCCTGCGGCCCTGGTACTGGCAAAGTGGAAGAATTGCTTTCTTACCTCTGTATTAATCTGCAGCTTTCCTCTGCCCACAAGTGAATGGATTTTGGTTGAAGATGGCATCATCATCAGTCTTTGAGAGCTTTTGAAAATAGTGTGGCGGCTTTTGAAGGAGCTGGCTGGGTACACGCTTTCCAAATACTCAGTGTGGAAATAGGGATAGTCTGGCTGAAGTGTCCATCCTGGTCAGGCTCAACATTAATGATGCTAAAGTTATGTGATCCATGCATTTACAGACAAGTTGGGTCAAGGACAGAGATGAAATGTAGACTGTGTGTCGTGTGGGTTGGCTGCTGCCGTTGGTGCTGGGTGCTTCCCTTAGCTTCCCTCCCTTGTCCTCAGCAGGCTTAGCCACGTGCCCAGGGGCTTCAGCAGACTGTAGTTGACAGCAGAGTTTTGCGTAGCTTTCCAGAACGTAAAACGCAAGCAGGGTCTGTGGGTGAAGAGGCACACAAGGATAGCATGGCTGAGCTTATGCATATATTCACAGTGCTTGTTTGGAAATGCATGATGGTTTCACCCCAAAAGGGTCTAATTTAGACCTCACCAAAACCACTCCATGGCCTGAACTGGTGAAGTACCACCTTGAAAGTGAACAAGTGGTCGAAGCAGAGCCCTGATGTAGCACTTAGAGTTTTGATCCTGTGTTGCACATTTGATCACAGTCAAGGGCTTGTGTTGGTTGCCTAATTAATGTTTATAAATATATAAAGGGTGAGTGTCACGAGGATGGAACCAGACTCTTCTCTGTGACAACCAATGGTAGGACAAGGGGTAATGGGTGTGAGCTGGAACACAGGAGGTTCTGCTTAAACTTGAGAAAAAACTTCTTTACAGTGAGGGTGCCAGAGCACTGGAACAGGCTGCCCAGGGAGGTTGTGGAGTCTCCTTCTCTGGAGACATTCAAAACCCACCTGGACGCCTTCCTGTGTGATCTCATTTAGGTTCCTGCTCCGGCAGGGGGGTTGGACTAGATGATCTTCTGAGGTCCCTTCCAATCCCTGACATTATGTGATTCTGTTGATGCCCCTTCAGAGTCAGTGCTGCAGTGCAATTAAAACTGACCTTCCACCTCCTGTATATCAAAAATACCTACGTAACACAGGTCCTAATCTAATCTTAACTACTGATTGCAGATTTTTCCACAAAACTTAGATGCGCAAACTTTGTACCAGCAGAGCTGTTGCCTCCTCAGCTACAGGCTATTTTCCTGTGGCTAGCAGAAAGCTGGCATACATCCCCAAAGCCAGCACGCACGGTGTGCTCCAGAGGAGTCAGCAGAAATCTACGTCTGGTCCAGGTCAAATAGTGAACATGGACAGTAAACTGATTTAGTATTGATGGTGTGGAACTGTAGCCCTGGGCTTTTCATTCTTGGATCATTTAACAAAGAATAAAGATGTCTGTGGCTTTGTTTGGCTAAACTAAGGGTGGTTTACCACATAGTCAGGTTAAAACAAGTCCTTTGTATTGCTTGGTGTTTTTTCAACATGATAATATTTCATCTACACTTATAGATGACTAATTAGAGCTCCATCCTCAAGGAGATAGCAGTGATTGTTTCCACTAGTCTGTCTGAGATTAATAGTTTGAGTTAAATGGTTTATTTTAAAAAATTGTTGTTTTCACCTTCTAGTTCAATCTTCATTTGACTGGAGATATTCATGCTATAACTGCTGCAAATAATTTGCTGGCTGCTGCTATTGATGCTAGGATCTTACATGAAAACACTCAGTCTGATAAGGTGAGAATTATTTTTTAATATCCACATGGCATTTTTTTCTTTTCAGTTTTTCAATAAAGTGCATTTCAAACCAAAATAAGTTGATTAACTTTTTATATTTTCACCATGTGAACAGAAACTGTTGCTGTGAAGCCATTCTATGTTCTGCTGGGAAATTGTGCTTATAGAATATATTCTTCTAGCAAACTGCTACCACAAGATAGTCTTTAAGATATGCCCAGAACCTTGTCACCTATTTCTGAGTGTACTAAATAGTCTGATAAAAGATGTTTTCTCTATCTAGAAGTGTTAATCTTTCTAATAATTTGTATACTTCTTTTAAAGTTAAAAATTACATTTCTGATGTGTAGTTGGGTATGATGTACTTTAAGAAGGGATTGTGGGGGAACATCAGCTAGATCCTCTTCCCTCTGCTAAGTCTGTTGTGACCTTAACACAAATGCTAACTTGAGTCTTTAAATGGAGAAAGTAAAGGAAGAAACCTTTTTTTTTTCTTTTTTTTCTTTTTTTTTTTTTGTCTATAGTGTTAAAACTGAGCAGGGTTGTCATAGCCCCTTTACTTGGTATGACACAAATGTGGATTTAGGCCAGTTTGCGAATGATAGTTATAGCTTGAATACTTTGGATTTTGGTTAAATTTTTAAAGAGTTCCCAATTTAAAAAAAAAAAAAAAAAATGGTGAAACATAGAAACACAATAATTTTGGTAACTGGTTTTATACTGCTAAATCATAGACATTGCTCAAAAGCCTACCACTTTCTCAGAGTTGTTTTTTAAATGGATAAGCAGAAGTCCACAACTAATGTGGCTGGGAAATTCTTACTGAAATTAGTCTAAATAAAGTAAAAACATTAGCTTTTTATTTAACTAGTTCCTGGTTGTAACTTTTTCTTTCATTAGCTTCTCATGTGTTCTTTCTAGGCTTTGTATAATAGACTGGTTCCAGTAGTTAATGGTGTGAGAGGATTTTCTGCTATTCAGCTTGCCCGTTTGAGAGTAAGTTGTTAATGTAGTCTCTCCTCAATTATAGTCTTAATAAAAGGTATTATCTTATGCAACTTGTTTAAATTATTTGATGTACGGGACCCCCCCTCATTAATTTATTAAGTCCAGACTTTTTCTAAAAGAATCCCCCTTGAAGTAATAGGGTCTGGGTCTCATATTATTTTCATAACCAACATTTTTGCTATTCTTTTCTCCTGAAATAAACCAATAATGTTTTTAAATGCTGTTTCTTTCCTGATGAAATATTAAAGTTAGAATTTTTAAAATACTTTTCCTATTATGGTAAAGTCACATTTGAAAACTCACATTCTTTGACTTTGCAATATTTTCTGGTTTTGAAAGTTTATTATAGCACATACTTCTGGGGTTTTATTGATGTCTATTTGACAATGTTCTCTCTTTGAGGGGTAGAAGTACACTTGTGTGCATAGTGTCTTTTTGCATTCCATCTTGCTTTCTGAATGCTTCCAGGAGAGCTTCCTATGCAATTCATGTATGAATAAAGTATCTGGATTTGAGGCTGCCATTCTGATAAATAACTAGAGCGGATACATTCCACTAGTGTTGGGGAAAGAGAATATAAACCCCTTGAATATGAACCTTAAGGACAGCTGCAGTCTTCTGGTTCCAGTTCCATGTTTGTTGTTGGTTTTTGAATCCTAAGTGGTGGTGGTTCAGAGTCACCAGATGGCAATGGATAGCTGCCAGGTGCCCACTTGGAACTAGAGAGTGCAGAAGAAAGTAGAGGTAGTATCAGCTTCTGTTTTGGAAAAAAAATAAAAGAAAAAAGTTTTCGTATCATATGTTTCTCATAATGTTTTAAGCTTTTGTGCTGTTCAATTGAATGACCGTAAACTAAGATGTGGATGATGCCTGCTTGCCTCTGGCAGAGTAGATCTCACATAATTTTCCATCAGAATGTTGAAGTATTTTCATTTTGTCCTTGTTTACACCGTGTATAGGGTAGCAGGTAGGGAAGGAGTGGGGGGGAGAGTGTTTTGGTTATTCACGACACCACTATCTCTGCAGTTGAAAAGGATTTCTCTCTCTTCACATGAGCTGCAACTGAGTAAGAAGAATTTGGCTTTATAACATCCAATTACATGCATTGTAATTTCCAATATAACTGAATTATTTTGCTGTGAATTATTTTTAGTATAATGATTCCCTATACCTAAAAAAACCCCAAACCAAATGTAAAAAGATATCTTTATTGGATGGGGTTACTTTTTTTTTTTCTCCCCTTAAAAGTGGATTATGAAGATTGAAACTCCTCCCTTACATGTGTGGTTTGGACTTGTAATTACAGAAGATCCCATGCAAATTTTTTTTTTTCAAAATCCTCAGTAGTTTGAAACCAGGAGTCTAGCCTCAGGAAGTACCTTTCTCATTCCCCTGCTCCTCAGCTCTTTTCTCTTTTTCCCAGTAATTATTAGCCTAAGACCTCTTTACCTCTTTAACTACTTCTATCCCAGTCTTTGTCTCCTTCTCCATGCCATCTCTGTGTCTTACTCCCGTCTGCATCCGGATCAGTCAGCTTTTTTCTTGCTGCTTAGATCTAGTATAGACGTTGTTGAGAACCTGGAAGGGATAGGCTGCTTTCTTTGCAGTTGCAGTGCCCAGCCCTCCTTATAGCAGTTGAAGCTGTAAAAGCATATAAAAATTACTGAAAATTTTGCTGTCAGCCTTCTGTGGAAAATATTCTGGGTGAATTCCCTGATATGCCAAGCAGGAGGAATGAGTACTGAACTCGGGCTGCCATCCCTCTGTAGAGATTGTAGTGGGATAACGCTCCTTTCTTGATCTGCCTATTTTCACAGAATTTGTAAGAAACTATCTCCAAGAATTCTCCAAATTAGATTAAAATTAGTTAACAGATCAGAAAAATATTAATACAAGCCTGGCAGTTCAGGGCATAAGCCTTTCTTCAGTAAAACTAAGGTGAAAAATCTTGGGGTACCAAGTGTCAAAAACTGCAGGCTGTTTTCAACAGCTTTTTGCCTTTCTCAGTGCAGTGAGAAATGCCTCAGTGCCTGCATCTGGTTTTGAAAATATCCCTCGCAGTTTGAGAGACCAGTCCTCAAAAAGGAGCATAGTGAAAGCAGTTTTAATATTTTAATGCTTTCTAATGCCAGAAAAAAATGTTTTACTTTTTTTAAAGACTACAGTTCTTAAACATAGTTTTCTGATCCATCTTTATGTAGATTCACCTAATAAAAGACTTAGTGTTGCTGAAATACTGAATCTTTAAAAGCCAGGAGATACTGGATCACTCATTGTAAGTGACTGAGTTGATGGATGATGGGCTCTTAAAGCAGAAGTTTTTATTTCATTCAAAGATGATTCCCACAAGACAACAAATGGGTCTTTCAAAGATTTCCACAAACTAGAGCAAGCAGTTATATTTTTATTAGTAACTGATAATGTTGAATTTTCTCATTGGTTTCCATTAACAGTTCCTTCTGTGTAAGAAATTGTTAATTTAATAGCCTATGAGTATTTCTCCTTTCTGTTTCATTTCTCCATTTGCCCCTATTTTATTTAAAATTGTTTCCTATGTGCTTTTTTTTTAAAAAAAATATATTTTTTTCCTGACATGCTGCTTTCCAAAATGCTTGCTGAAAGTGGAGGTGATAAGCCAGAGCAGCTGTACCTTTTGAAGCAAAAATACTACTTCTTTGTGTTTCTTTAACTTCTTTTTGTGTAGAGGCTGGGAATAAACAAGACTGATCCAGGGACTTTAACAGAAGAGGAGATCAACAGATTTGCACGCCTTGATATTGACCCATCTACCATAACATGGCAAAGAGGTATGTAATCAAAAAGCCTCACTTCAGCTTGGATTTAAGTATAGCTTCCTAATTTGCTTAATTTTACCTGAATCAGAGCTGTTTCTGCTCTCTGACTATAAGAACAACCCATTTGCAAGTGGGAAATGTGGGTGCATAACAATATGTTGCTCTACACTTGTTCAGGTATCTGCAGTAACTCAAGAAGCTTTGCTAGTATTCTGAAAGATAGGTTACTCTGACAGTTTAAGTACATCCCTTGTCTCTCTCGTGTTGGATAATACATATTAAAATATATGAAAATAGCTTTTCTGTGCGTCTTACAAATCTTACCCATTCTTTTCTTAACTGTGTCTATTATGGTTTTAGAGTATTTGTACTTGCTCTGCTTGATGTTGGTCCCTCATCCTCCCCAGCTCAGCAGCCTGGATAGCTCATTCTAAATAGGCCTCAGGAATTATGTGGTGTTCCTATTTTTAAAGTGTCTTGAGTTGTTTGCTTTGTTAGGAAGAAGAGGTGAAAGATGTGTTACAGTTTCAACCATGTATGCCAAGCAAACCAATATCCACCCTCACACCCTTAGACAACTCCCCTCTGCATTCTAGCGCCGGGTTCAATTTCAGTGTTTTTCCTCAGTTTCTGTATCTCTCTCTCTTTTTTTAAGCAAGTAAACTCTGCATAAAGTTTTGAGCTAGATTCCATTGGAATTTATTTTCTTCCTAAGTTCTCAAACACCTAAGCTATTAGTTCAAAATCATTGTTAAATGGAATATATTGTGGTGCTCTGAGAAATACAGCAAATCTGTTGAGAAGTGAGGAGTCTTGGCCATGCTTTACTGTGCCCTTTGTGTGGATGTCATCTCAGACCTGGGTTATTTTTCTCAAGATAATACTGGGGGTTGTGGCATAAGATGTTTTTTATTAGTCACACAGTGTGTCTGGAGGAGACCTGTATTAGGACAAAGGAGTAATATAAATATTTAGTGTAATATGACTCATCGTTTTTATCAGCACGGGTTTGGGAGGAGGCAACATTACTCAACAGCTGTTAACCTCAAGTTATTTAATTAATCTCAAACAATGTTAGTGAAAATTCTGTTCCATAAAACTCTATATGGTGTATATATCTTAAAACATTTCAGGAAAAAAAATGGTTTTAGGAATGTCTTAAGTAATTTGGAAAATGTTTTGAGACTGTTTCTGCAATCCATATGTATGTGAAGCTTGTTACGTACCAGGGAATTTGCAGGGCAGAAGAGAAAGCTATCAGATTGTCTGAAAATTAATTTTAGTCAGGACGTATTTCCTTAGAAGAGTCACAAGCCTAAAGTTCATTGTCATCTTATGCTAACTTGAACAGGTACAACATACTGAAAAGAAGGAAAGCTTTCCACTACTTACCCTTCCCCTGGTATTCAGATCCTGTTTATATCTCTGGAGGACAAGGAAGTAGATACATTAAATGTAACACTTGTTTGAACCTAAACTTCCCTGAAACGTTTACTTTGAGTAAGGAAGAGGGAAAATTTGGAGAAGGAAAAACTGCTTTTGTAGCAAAACCAATTATTTCTTATTTGACTGCTTCTAAGTGCAGCTGTTGGAATCTTCCTAGAGAATTAATTTTGACCACAGGGAGAAGGCCAGTGTATTCCAATGACCAGAAGGAGTTGCAGAGGTAGTTATAATTTCATGGTAAGTGTGTTCAGGTTACATGATTTCATTAGGAAGGGCCAGATAAAAAGCAGCCCACTCCCTGTCCAGGCTGGTGGGAGGGATAGTTCCTGCTCTCAGCAGTGCCAGGGTAGGCAGGAAACACATTTAAGTCTGCTTAAGGCTACTAATGAGACCGAGCTTCCTAAGAGGAGAAGGAATAAGTTTGTGCTTGAGAGATCAGCTTGCCGTATGGCTTCACGGTGGCATATGGTACCACAGCTTGGTACAAGGCTGCTGCTTCCATGTACAGGGCTCTGTTCTGTAATTTCTGCCATTGCTGTAGTATTTTAGAGTATGACTGTATATAAATAGAAAACAAAATAAGTTAGACAAATCTGTGTTGTATCATCCCTTAAATGGAATTCCTGAGGAAATTAAGGGCCTAGATACCATGTAGTGGGGAGAAGGCATGTATGGTATTTACAATGGCCCCATGAGAAATGCCCCAGAAGGGCAAGTGGCTTAAATCCTGGTGTTCTCCCAGCTCACTCACAGCCCTGAATTGGGGTTGTGCAGGATTGAGATTCAAAGTCCCTCTTGTTCTTGAACAATTATGTCATTCTTTTCTGTACAGAAAAATTGTTAATCTCCAAAAGCAGCAGGAAAAGTGAGAGCAGGTGATTTCACTGACCTCCAGGACAGACAACTTCCATGAAGTCTCCTTGATCCTCTGCCTCTAAATGAACAGGTCTCAGATCTATTATCTACTAGAAGATTGACTTGATTGCCAAGATACAGCTTGAACTGATCAAGAGTACCTTCCACCCTTCTTTTAGAGTTGGTGCAAATGGAAGCATTTGCAGGGCTAAATAGCCTGTAAGAAAAAGGGAGCCTATTTTTGAATTCTGTAGGGATTGCCATTCCTAGGATGGAGCAGTCTTGGAGTTTGGTCTTATTTTCTAAGAAACAGAAACATCCTCCTAATGGTTCTTTCTAAGAAACATCCTGAGCAGATCTCAGCAGATGTGAGAGCTCTTCATTTATTCTCAGTCCTTCCTTTTGGTTCCTACAAAGGCACGCTTGAAGTTGAGTGTTATCTGTACAGAATTGGAGAACTTGTCTTGTGATGATTTTTAGTGGTTAGTAATTCCCCAGGATGGTTTGGACATGCCCTTGCAATACAGAAAGTGTTTCCAGGTTAGAAATACAGTTGTCTGAAATAAAAGTTGTGTTAAATAGCAGATGATTGGTCTTGGCAGTTGACAAAAAAAAACTTCCTTTGAACGCTGTGCAGCTGAACGTGGAGTTAGTTACTGTGATGTGTAAGAAAGTGACTTGTCTGGAAGAACCAATCTGACAACATAACAATCCTTTAAAAGAGAAACAGAGCAAGTTTAACCTACATTATGCAATCTTAAAATCAGTTCTTAACAAGTTAATGATGAAGCAAATTATTTTAGGTAGTTCTGAAGTGCATTGCATCTACCAAGACAGATTTTTCTTATGTAGGTAAAATATTAATTTGTATGTTAGAATATTAAGAATCTATCAGCTTCAAATACCGTTCAGAGACATTGTATTTGAGTTATTTCAACCTGCCATCTAATGGTATCCACTAGAAGAAGAGAACCAAGTCAGTGCTAATGCTAACACACAGGAGCATGGTTGTCTGGTTACACTGTTAAGTAGCTGAATCTCACATGTATTAACAACAGGTATTTCTGGAAAAGCATCCAGATCCCCAAGTCCTTGTTAACATGTTTTGCTTTTACTATTCCCTTATTTCAGTGGTGGATACAAATGACAGATTCCTGCGCAAAATAACGATTGGACAGGCAAATACAGAGAAAGGATTTGTCCGTCAGGTATGTAAAGGCAGTTAATATATCTCATTCTGGACAGGCTTTGCTTTAAAGGCTGAGAGATGTTTCTACAGTTCTTTCAGCATACTACTCTGAGTTGTGATGCTAACATCTGTTGCTATTGTGTAGTATTCTTGCAGTGAAACTGATTGTGTTAATGAGTAACCGAGTCTGAAGTTTCAGAAACAGAAACCAATGCATATTGCACAATGTGTTGAAAGCACTTGAAAAAGTTGCATATGTTAGGGGGCTCAACATTGTCATCCTATGAGTATGAAAGGTGCCTTTATGCCCTGATAAGGTTAATTTGTATGACTTTTCTTACCTTTTTTTTTTAAGCCCATCAAACTAGTTATGAAGTATTTATGTAATTTAAATTTAATTTTAAAAATTGGGGAGAGGGGTGGGTCATGTTGTTGGTCCCACTGGTGAGGACTGAAGATGACCATTAGCTTCTTATTCAGAGTTTTCAGTTCCTTATCATCTCAGCTTTGGGATCTAAACTGTAAGAACTTGAGAACGTGCTTAATTTTTACATGTGGGCTTGAAGGGATAGTTCAGAAAATGAGCACGTGTGTACTTTTCTGTAGTGTGAAAAAGCTAAGCAACATTACTGTATGAGAGCTTCTGGAAGTTTATTAAATAACTTCCTGATAAATTGAAAGCCAGACTTTTCCAACACTATCCAAACAAGTGTTCCTGGTGTCATGTGGGTAAATCCATTTCTGAAACAGTGCAGTGTGGAAAAGCAATGCCAGGTGGAACAAACTCATTGTGATGATGTGGAGTTGCTCCTAATTCAATTAAGTTAATATAATCTAACACTCTGGATCATGAAATTCATGAGGTTCTGACTATTCTGAGGTCAAGTAAACAGCTATTGTGGCAGAGATAAGGCTTTCAGTTGTTTTAGAAATCCTGTATTTAATTTTTCTTTATCATTTCAGACCTCTTCTAGGCTTTGTGCCTGAATAAGGAGACCAAAAATAGTGCTAATGTTTTTGCTCAGTTAAAAAAAAAACAGTCAAATTGGAGAGCAGAACTTGAGAGAGAAATCATAGAATGGTTTGGGTTGGAAGGAACTTTAAAGATCCAACCCCACTGGGCAGTTCCAGCCCCACGGCCATGGGCAAGGATACCTTTCACTAAGAATGCTAGCTTGTTTTGGTTTTGAGCACACAGAGTAGAGGCTTTCCTGTCAGTAACTTACAGAAAGCTCAGTATTAGTTAATACTTATCTCTGATAATGGGCTGGAACTACAAAATGTTATAATTGGTGCAAGTTCCTTCAACACTTGAGATGTTTTCCTATGTTCAGATTTGCTTCAGTGACTCAATGTGATTATTAGCTTTGGGCCAGGTTCTGCCAGCCTTATTGTGCAGCGTTTTATCACTGTAATTGTGCTGCTGAGTTAAATATGGGTAGTTTTATTATGGAATACTAGTTGACATACGGCTGTCAAATGTTGCGTCTGTACTGTTTTGGCTAAAAATGACCTTAATGCATTCAATTTTGATGTGTTGGACTGATGCATATTCACTCACATTTTAACATGTGACTCAAGAAATAGAGATCAGTTAGGAAAACTCATTTCAGAGCCTAGCCGTAGATCCAGAGAAAACAGGACTTCATAGTTAACAGATGCATTTTATAAATATTTGGAGTGATGTTCTAGCACTCTTAAAATCAATGACACCTGTGTAAAATGACAGAACACAGCAGGCACAAAAGTCTGCATTTTAATGAACAGAGATGCTGTGGTTTCTAAAGAATATTACATGACTGATGCCCTTGATCCTGCAATTGAATCCATGTGGGTGGACCCTTTCATCAATAGAGAACTGACTTTACAGCTAAGGCTTCTGTCAGCACTTCATAGGTGCATAGAGGTTATTAGAGTTAAAATAACACCTGCTACCACAGTCGTTTGTGCTTGTTTTTTCAATTAAGTATTATGTCACTCTTTGAGCATCTACCCGGAATTGTTTTTCCTGTTCATATAGAAACAATGATAATAAAAAACTTATTTTTTGGTCTCCTGATAAACACCTTAGAATCATAGAATGGTCTGGGTTGGAAGGGACTTTAAAGATCACCTAGTTCCACCTCCCCTGCCATCAGCAGGGACACCTTCCACTAGACCAGGTTGCTCAACACCTCATCCAGCCTGGCCTTGAACGCTTCCAGGGAGGGGGCATCCACAGCTTCTCTGGGCAATCTGTTCCAGTGTCTCACCACCCTCACAGTGAATCTTGATAAAGTTAGATAGTTTTCCAGCATATAGGTTGGGCATAGATTTCTCAGACTTATTTTCCGTCTTATATGTGCGACAGTGACTTACTGGGGACATTCTTAACTTCAGAAAGGATAGTAGCATCCATGTCATCGCAACGTTAACAGTGGTTTTTGTGTACCCCGCTGTTCTGTAGAACTGCTTCTAGGCAATCCAGAAAATCTACTTTGTATCTTCAGCATTTCATTTGAATCCCTATGCTGAAAATCTCAATTAGAGATTTATTTCTTGTTTTCTGTGGAATATATCTATCCCTGTCTGTGCCCAGTGCAGAAGAGTGCTTGGGTGTCTTGAGAAGTTTTGGCTTGCATGCGGGTACATAGAGGTCACCCTCAATAGGGCTGCTCTGGCCTGTAGCTGTTGAGACAGAACTTAAAAGCAGGAACATAGGTTAAAAAAAGGCAGAAGCTGTTAAAGTACTGGGTAAATGGATAAGAATGGCAAGGTGTGTGTTGAACAATTCTCTGTGTATGTGCTCTTTAAAAACAGGCAAAGCCCACAATTAGAACAGATTCTCTGCTCTTAGTCACTATAGGATACATCTGGTAGAAATCTGACATAAAAACAATCCTGGGGGCCTTTTTTACATAGATAGCAGTCGGATGTCAGTTACTAAATTTTTGTATAGGCTTAAATTGTTGGAGATGGAGAGATTACTAAAGAAGCTGTAGTTCTTGTTCACCCCCAACATTGCATTCCTATCACATAGTACATTAATGACTTTGCCTTTCTTGTCTGTTTACGTTCTGGCAGCATGTGCCTTGGGTTTTACTACGAGTAAATTAGTACAAATACTGCTAATGTATACTGCAAACTCCTAAAGAAAAGTAAGGACCACAGCTTGTGTTGTGCTGAAATACTGCACTATTACTCTTCTGCAAGAGCAATAGAACTGAAGCCACATATCATTCTTGGGGTTTTTTTAACTTACATATTTGCTCATTTTTAAAAAAAGGGCGGAGGGACAAAGATATATTTTACATTATCATAGGTCAAACACAAGACCTAGCAGCACAGACTCTAAATTTTGAGTTTATGTAGAAAAAGAATGATGAAATGCCACAAGAATGTTTTTGAAACCAGAATAAAAATCTTTTGGAGAGCATTACAGGAAAAAAAAAAAAAAACCTACAACAATGTGCTCATGCCAGTAAAGCTCAGAACACATCTGGTGATTTTCTTTTTTGCCATAGAAAAAAATTCTTGGTCCTTTGGGGAGCTTCTGCTAAGGATAATGTGAGCCAAGGGGCTAAGCACTCTGCAAGAGTGGTCCCTGAGTAGATGAAGTGTAACAGAGAACATAAATGAAGGAATATAAACAAAGTGTTTGAATTTACTCTAGTCTGAGTAATCTCAAAAGCTACAGTTTAGAACTTGTTTGAATTGCCGCGTGAAATCTGTCTTTCCTGAGTCTATTCCTGATGATTCCCTGTGAGTATTTGACCTGACTTTGATCAGGTTTGTGATTCTCATTTCTTTTTTACAGGCTCAGTTTGATATTGCTGTTGCAAGTGAAATTATGGCCATCCTTGCACTTGCCACCAGCCTGCAAGATATGAAGGAGAGGCTGGGGAAAATGGTGGTGGCTAATGACAAGAAAGGAGAACCAGTAACAGCAGAGGATTTGGTATGTTCAGGGCTGTGTAGACCTGTGGATAACCTCTGATGCATTTGTTTTGCCTTTTGAAGCGCTAGAAAGGCAGGTGCATGCCAAGGATTTTGCTTTGAACAGCACAGTCAGATATCGAAGAAATATCATCTGCTGGGCCAAAACTTGCTCGCAATGAGAACAAGATGTAGAACTCATTTCTCCAACAATCTGGTAACATCTGGTTCAGGAAGTATCTGGTCTCCATAACCTGCTTGGATAGTTTTCTGCAGTTCTTAAGACAAACCAGTTTGGTGCTGGAGTCAGAGTGCAGGCTCCTATTTGAGAGAGCTGGTAATGTTTGCTACTGTACTTGTAAAGTGTGCTGAGATGTTACAACAATAGTTACCACATGAATGCTTATGCCATTAAATCAGAATGAAAACAAGCTATTCTTAATTCGTAGGTTGCTGATACTGCTTGGGACAGGGTTGTCTCCTCACATCATTAGAACTTTTTCTTCCTTACCTTCATTAGTTAGTTGCTATTTCCTCATTCCCTACTTCAGCTTCTAAAAGAAGTCAACATGTTCTTCCTTTGTATCAAATTCTAGCCCTTATAGCCAGGCTGTGAGTCAGTAAGCAGTGGTTGGAAGCTCACATGTTCGTGTATGGCAGATTATGGTGCAGCCAGAAGCTACCGGTTAACCTTGGCAACCCAATTGTATGCCAGGAGCAGGCTCACTGTGAATGGCACTAGTTTACTGTAACATGACATTACTTGAATTCTGAAGCCTAATTGTAAAACTAAGTTCATATATTGCAGATTGACAACACACCCTAAATAAAATAAACGTAATAATGCTTTGATTTTATACTTTTTTGTCATCTAAATGTATCCTTATAGCAAGTGTGATATGTCTTGGAGCTGTGCTTTCATGCCACCCTGCTGGCAATAACTTGCCTGCATCAGAAAGACTATATGTGTTTTTTCTCTGTTTGTCCCTTTTATATAGATGTCTGCACAAACTTACTGTGTTTTTAGCCAGTATCCTGTCTTGTCAGCAAAGATAGCAAATTCATAAGCCAGGAATACCTTTACAGCCTTAATGGATTACAGTTTAATAAGGAAATAAAAACATAGTCTCTAGCTTGCATGGATTTAAGATTGAAATTGGGATAAGGGTACCAAAATTTCTAAGTACAATCATCATTAAAACTCAAAGCAATCATCTACTCCCAATTATGCAGGAGACGTCAAGAACTGCATTTGATATTCTGGCTGTTGAAGTTTTGATTTTACTTTTCAATTGCATAACTTTGTATTTGCCAAACAGAGGGGAGTGAGGAATGAATTACCTTGCAATGCATATGCAAAAGCTTTATAATAATTCAGTGTCAGAATTAAAACTACATTTGAAATACGTTTTTTTAATCTTGATGCCACTTGTGTATGAAGGTACTTTAATGTATTAATACTGCAAAATATTTAACCTGTCTGCAACCTTTTAATGCTAATCAGGTTGATGAATGAAAACAGTTGCTTTTCCGTAGTCTATTTCATCTGTATTTGCTCTATGGAAAAATAATATATTAGGGCTGAAATTATGAACAGTGCACAAGGAACTTCAAAATTTTTACAGTCTATGCTTAAAATGGAAGTAGTGCTCAGCAAAACGTCTGCTACTAATTCGGTTTTCTTTGGCCTTTTTTTAAACAGGCTTCCTCTGCTTAGCATCTCAATAATTTGATAGTGTCACTTGTGCTGAATGTGTTTTTCTAGTTCTTCTTTAAAGCAGTGTTCTATATTATACAATAGAAGAACTGCCCAGAAAAAAAAAAATCATCCAGTGTCAAGGATATGTGTTATGACCATCTACAGCTATGCTGCTGCTTTCGTTTTCTTCTGCAGACTCTTCTTCATACCATGCACAGGGAGGGCTTGGGTGCATATCATCACTGTGAAGTGCTGAAACTCCTACCTTCTTTGTTGCAGTGTCTTACAAATGAGGATGAGAACTATGGGAATAATAGGAAGATGATTTCATGGTTAAGGCAGAAAAGTGCCTTTTTAGAGAGTTGAATTCTAGTCCTATGTGAAAAACACAGCATCACACAAAGCTTATGTGTGATGTTGTGTCCATGAAAAGTGATTCTTACAGTACATGAGGAATTGTGCATTCCTCGATCTGGCTTGATACCCAGGAGCTAAACAGCTGAAATCTATGGAAAGA